GGCCCCCCGTGGGAAACGAACCCACAACCCTGGCGTTGCAAGCGCCATGCTCTGCCAACTGAGCTACACGGGGCCCCATGATGAAAACATCATGACTGTTTGAGTTTATGCCACAAAAAGGTAATACATTTAAAAAGTTAAATGACAAATCTTTAGGACTAGGCCCACAGAGATCCTATTGAATTAATAGGGATTCTACAGTCGTGGTCAAAATTTTTGAGAATGACACAAATATTAATTTTCACAAAGTCTGCTGCCTCAGTTTTGATGATGGCAATTTGCATATACTCCAAAATGTTATGAAGAGTGATCAGATGAATTACAATTAATTGCAAAGTCCCTCTTTGTCATGAAAATGAACTTAATCCCAAAAAAACATTTCCACTGCATTTCAGCTCTGCCACAAAAGGACCAGCTGACATCATGTCAGTGATTATCTCGTTAACACAGGTGAGAGTGTTGACGAGGACAAGGCTGGAGATCACTCTGTCATGCTGATTGAGTTAGAATAACAGACTGGAAGCTTTAAAAGGAGGGTGGTGCTTGAAATCATTGTTCTTACTCTGTTAACCATGGTTACCTGCAAGGAAACACGTGCCGTCATCATTGCTTTGCACAAAAAGGGCTTCACAGGCAAGGATATTGCTGCTAGTAAGATTGCACCTAAATCAACCATTTATCGGATCATCAAGAACTTCAAGGAGAGAGGTTAAATTGTTGTGAAGAAGGCTTCAGGGCTCCCAAGAAAGTCCAGCAAGCGCCAGGACCGTCTCCTAAAGTTGATTCAGCTGCGGGATCGGGGCACCACCAGTGCAGAGCTTGCTCAGGAATGGCAGCAGGCAGGTGTGAGTGCATCTGCACGCACAGTGAGGCGAATACTTTTGGAGGATGGCCTGGTGTCAAGAAGTGCAGTGAGGAAGCCACTTCTCTCCAGGAAAAACATCAGGGACAGACTGATATTCTGCAAAAGGTACAGGGATTGGACTGCTGAGGACTGGGGTAAAGTCATTTTCTCTGATGAATCCCCTTTCCGATTGTTTGGGGCATCCGGAAAAAAGCTTGTCCGGAGAAGACAAGGTGAGCGCTACCATCAGTCCTGTGTCATGCCAACAGTAAAGCATCCTGAGACCATTCATGTGTGGGGTTGCTTCTCAGCCAAGGGAGTGGGCTCACTCACAATTTTGCCTAAGAACACATCCATGAATAAAGAATGGTACCAACACATCCTCCGAGAGCAACTTCTCCCAACCATCCAATAACAGTTTGGTGATGAACAATGCCTTTTCCAGCATGATGGAGCACCTTGCCATAAGGCAAAAGTGATAACTAAGTGGCTCGGGGAACAAAACATCAACATTTTGGGTCCATGGCCAGGAAACTCCCCAGACCTTAATCCCATTGAGAACTTGTGGTCAATCCTCAAGAGGCGGGTGGACAAACAAAAACCCACAAATTCTGACAAACTCCAAGCTTTGATTATGCAAGAATGGGCTGCCATCAGTCAGGATGTGGCCCAGAAGTTAATTGACAGCATGCCAGGGCAGATTGCAGAGGTCTTGAAAAAGAAGGGTCAACACTGCAAATATTGACTCCTTGCATAAACTTAATGTAATTGTCAATAAAAGCCTTTGACACTTATGGAATGCTTGTAATTATACTTCAGTATACCATAGTAACATCTGACAAAAATATCTAAAAACACTGAAGAAGCAAACTTTGTGAAGACCAATACTTGTGTCATTCTCAAAACTTTTGACCACGACTGTATATGTAATTCTATGATTAGGCCCGCAAGCGCGTGCACACATAGGAGGTCCCGTACCGGGAATAAATTAAATCCACTTTCACCCATGATGAAAACAGAATGTGTCTTTTGACCCCTCATTAACTTTTTAGAAGTCAAAATTCCTGCTAACTTGCGACTTAGATTTAGAACATTATTAGAACGGATATGTCCTTGAAGGGAAAAAACTGAAAAGTTATGATGTTCAGAATACTAAGATCCACTGGTATTAAAAGTCAGAACTACTGGGTTTTGAAAAAAAAGCTCATTTATTTATTAGATAGCTACAGAAGTTTAGAGGACTTTGCTGTCATAAGTGACAAAACGAATGTAGCCGCTGGCTGATACATGCTTACCAATAGCCTAGGCCTATATGATGTGTTCACCAGTTACGTTCTACGGTTGTCCCTGGAGAAGAACCCTTTTTGGTTCCAGGTAAAAACCCTTTTTGGTTTCAGTACTTTAAGGGTTCCAAATAGGGTATAGCCAGTTGGATACAACAGTTGGGTGCCTTCATGTATGATGGGTGTGAATAAAAATTATGTGTTTACTTTCTTGGGGGAAATCTATACTGAACAAAAATATAAATGCAACATGCAACAATTTCAAAGATTTTGCTGAGGTACAGTTCACATAAGGAAATTGAAATAAATAAATTAGGCCCTAATCTATGGATTTCACATGACTGGACAGGGGCTCAGCCATGGGCAGGCCTGGGAAAGCATAGGCCCACCCACTGGGGAGCCAGGCCCAGCCAATCAGAATGAGAAATATTCCTCAGTACCCCCCCACACACACAAATTTGTGCACAACATTTTAGAGAAATAAGCCTTTTGTGCGAATGGAACATTTCTGGGATCTTTTATTTCAGCTCATGAAACATGGGACCAACACTTGACATGTTGCGTTTATATTTTTGTTCAGTGTCATTTAGCTTTAAACAATGAATGGGGGCCTCGTCTTTCCATGCTAATGCGCAGAGGCAGTTGCATCGTTGCGGTGTTGTCTGATTTACCGAAGGAGGCTAATTTGGTTACATCAGTAGATTACATTTACTTAACCAATGGCAGCTGTTTAGCACGGAGGGAAATGGTCATCTGTCAAATATTAGTCCACATTATTTGTAGACAATGAAAAGCAGCTTGTTCAGCGCCGTGTGCGTCTAGAAATTCAGATTCAATAACAACTACTGCATAACAATGTCTAGGATCATCCCTTGGGGTCTTTAAATTAGGGAAACTTTTAACAAATAGCATTACTAGATTTGTTTGAGATTGTGGCATCTGTCTGCAAAGCCTTCCAATGCTAGGAGTCTATGTAACAAGATGCGCATGATGCTGATCCTGCACTCTAACTCCTGAATGACTGACTTGATGTCTGTAGCTGCACTGAGGTACAGTAACATATTACAGTACAAGACACAACAGAGTCAATGAAGAGGCCTCTGATAGCCCTCTAGCACAGATACAGTGTAAGTTGGTTGACTATACAGCTGATACAGTTTAACCGACCATCAAAACGTATTTAATCCTCTTTGTTCCTATGTGGGACACAAGGCTTACACGAGAGAGTGCCACTGCTGCCGATCATCAGTCTTTTTGGGGACAGTTTTCCATGACAAGCCACAGTCCTTCATCTCCTTCTCCAAGGTTCTTCGACGGGACTATCAAAACAGATGTCCCAGAATTAATCAGTTACAGGTTTGACAAGGGTTAACCGAGCACTGGAAGCTAACTTTGCTCATAAAATGAATAACATGGAAGTCTACTGAAAATCGTTACATCAAGTATTGACATCACACACACAATAAGTCATTCCCTTGTTCATTGCAGCAGACTCTAAAATCCAAAACCTTCCTGGAAGTCTCTGTAGAATTGTAAAGATTAGGTGTTAGGTCATGCATTTTTGGTTAATGGCTCTTAGAAAATGAAAGAATCATTGTTTTCCTCCAAAGGAGGCACATCTTTTTTGCAGAGACCTGATTCATATGAAGTTGATGTACTTCAGAGATTTGTTACACTTGTGTTGGACCTGTACCATGTGTAAAATAAATCTGCACCTCTCATGAAATAAACAATGTTCTTTAAAAAATCCATGATCCTATTGCGACACCGATGACTGCCTGTAAACTGCTTTGAAAACATCAAAAGGTCACCGATCCTCAATCTTACATTCTTGACTTTTGCTAATAAAGTGGTTGCTATTGGCACACCCTATTGTTTTTTAGAGTAATAGATATTCCTGTCTGGCTATTGGGAGAAAACGCACAAGAATGTTGTGCTAGAGCAATGTTCGGTTGCATCGGCTTTGAGTAAAAACTCCTGTTTGGTTTAAGCAAAATAAATAGAAAGGAACAAGAGTATAAACACGAGGTGAGGTTACGGAACCCCCTCTCCATCTTGAAGAACTCAATAGGTGTTCAGCATGACGGATGGTTTGTGGTAGTGGAAATGACAGTTGGTTTAGAATGGTGCATGAGCGAGGTGAGGCAAGGCGGTGGCTGCTCTTTCCAATGTTAGAGAAGGCTAAATCAGACCCTGGGTAGCCCCTCTATAATGACCTTGAATCATGTTTTAGGGCTCTGCTGTGACACATTGCTGGGTTTTTAGCTGGGAATGGCCTTTCTTTCTTTGTTTAATTACATGATTACATTTCTACCTTTTTTTATGTCCAAGACATTCTTTACATTGCAAAGCATAAATTAACAGGTTTGTAACCTGGTTTAAAAAAAACTGACAAAGCAACACCTCACGGCACAACGCCTCTCCCTTATTTGACCTAGATAGTTTGTGTGTATGTATTGGTATGTGCCTTTAAAAAAATTTTTTTTATGTAGTTCTGTCCTTGAGCTGTTCTTGTCTATTAATGTTCTGTATTATGTCATGTTTCATGTTTTGTGTGGACCCCAGGAAGAGTAGCTGCTGCTTTTGCAACAGCTAATGGGGATCCTAATAAAATAGCAAATACCAAACTGGTATGGGGGGGAAATGTTACAACTGTTTTCTTTGGTTTTCACTGAATATGATGGATGAAACGTGAAACAATTAAAATGTCAATGTTGTTAGGTGAAAACGTTCAAGTTTTCTGTAGATTTCAAAATCTATTACACATTGATGTTGATACAAAAATATTGGATTGTGTTTTGTATTATATGGCTCCCTCCAACTCAATAAAAGTAATATATGTGCTGCACGTGTGGACATGAAGGATGAAAAGCATGCGGCTGATTATGAAATGCTCTGGACCTGACATAGACCCTGGCGTGGCAGCAGATAATGAGGTGTGATGGTTGACAAAGAGTCACACAACCAGAGCAACACCTCTTTACAAGACCCCATATTACAAAGGAGAAGCCCCTCATCCAAAGACAACCTCATGCCCCAATTAAAAACGGATTAGGCTGTTGAGCACATAACACTACCACAGGAACACACTCACAGAGGACAACCAACAAGACCCGGGACTGAAGCACTAAAGTAGTGAGGCAGCCAAGGCCTTACAACCACATTCAAACCATTCCTTTCTCACCTCTGGACAAACAAATGACTAAAACAGAGCCTTTTTCTGTTAACCATTACTTTCCAATGATATCTATCCTTAGAACTTGGGGGACGACAACCGCTTGAGTGTAGCCGTAGTGAAGAGAACCTGCACAGCAGGGGTTACTTACTTAATCCTCTTCGTGCCTTGAGGCACATAAGGTCCTCAAGAGAGCGCCACAGTATCTGGTATGCTGCTTTCTTGGTGAGGGTTCCCAGGTCAGGCCTCACTCCATCTCCTTCTCGATGTCTCTTTCTGGCATCCTAGCTTTCTCTTCCCATCAGGTGTCCAGCTTAAGGCAATTGCAGTGTGTGTTTCTGGTGGTAGTCTGGCAGAGAAAAGGGGCTGCTTAATAACATAGCAGACATCAGGTGTCAAAACTGAACTCACTGGAAAACTGAAGATCTTACAGTACCCATACACTGAAGCATTACATTGGAAAAGTTAAAGTTCACTTGACCAAATTGCCGCATATGAAAAAACAATTGCCGCATATGAAACAAACAATGATTTCTGATTATATAGGCCATATTTTAATCAGTGATCTAGAGAACTGTAGTTTTCATAACAGCCCTAATTTTCTCATTGATATATGTTTTATCTCAGGTGTGACATTAGGATAGAACAAAAATAGCACAGTGCACAATTCACCCAGTAAATTACAGTCTACAGTGTTAAAAGAGGATGTGGTGTGTGTGATGAAAGGAGTCAGGCGCAGGAGGGTAATCACCGAATACAGAGTTTATTCCTTCGTTGACACATAAATGCGCTCCAATAGCGATCAACAAAACAGGCACAGGGGAAACAAACATCCCTGGCAATTACACTGTAACGGAATCCAATAATACATAGGCACAGGGGGAAAATCTACCCTGGCAACACAATGTTATGAGTAGCTCCACCGAGCTACATACTCTCACAATTAACAATCACCCACAAGGACAAGGGGGCAGAGGGAACACTTATACACAGACTAATTAGGGGATAGGAACCAGGTGTGTGTGATTGACAAGACGAGACAATTGTGATGATGATTGGGGCGGGTGGTTAGTAAGCCGGTGACGACGAACGCCGAAGCATGCCCGAACAAGGAGGGGAGGCAGCCTCGGTGGAAGTCGTGACAGTACCCCCCCCCCCCCCTTGACGCGCAGCTCCAGCATCACGCCGACCCCGGCCTCGGGGACGGCCAGGAGAACGCAGAGCAGGGCGAGCCGGTGGAAATCCCGCAACAGGGAGGGATTGAGGATATCCCTCACCGGGACCCCAGCACCGTTCCTCCGGACTGTACCCCTCCCACTCCACGAGGTACTGAAGGCCCCCCACCCGACGCCTCGAATCCAGGATGGAGCGGACAGAGTACGCCGGGGCCCCCTCGATGTCCAGAGGAGGTGGAGGAACCTCCCGCACCTCAGACTCCTGCAGCGGACCAACCACCACTGGCCTGAGGAGAGACACATGAAACGAGGGGTTAATACGGTAATCAGGGGGGAGTAACAACCTATACGTAACCTTGTTGATTCTCCTCAGGACTTAGAACGGCCCCACAAAATGAGTGCTCAGCTTCCGGCAGGGCAGGCGGAGGGGCAGATTCCGGGTCGAGAGCCAGACCCGATCCCCCGGTACGAAGACCGGGGCCTCACTGCGGTGACGGTCAGCGTTGGCCTTCTGACGATGCACAGCGCGATGGAGGTGAACGTGGGCAGCATCCCACGTCTCCTCCCCGCGCCGAAACCAGTCATCCACCGCAGGCACCTCGGTCTGACTCTGGTGCCACGGTGCCAGAACCAGTTGGTAACCTAAAACACATTGAAATGGTGTTAGGTTAGTAGAGGAGTGGCGGAGAGAGTTCTGGGCATATTCTGCCCATGGCAAGAACACTGCCGGTCCTGGCAGTAGGACCGCAGGAACCTACCCACATCCTGATTTACCCGTTCCACCTGCCCATTTGACTCGGGGTGGAACCCAGAGGTCAGGCTGACCGAGACCCCCAGACGTTCCATGAACGCCTTCCAAACCTTGGATGTGAACTGGGGACCTCGGTCGGACACTATATCCTCTGGCACCCCGTAGTGCCGGAAGACGTGAGTGAACAGGGCCTCTGCAGTCTGCAGGGCCGTGGGGAGACCGGACAGAGGAAGGAGGCGGCAGGACTTGGAGAAGCGGTCCACAACGACCAGGATGGTGGTGTTACCTTGGGAGAGGGGAAGATCAGTTAGAAAATCAATGCTAAGGTGAGACCATGGGCGTTGTGGAACTGGTAACGGTTGTAGCTTACCCGCTGGGAGGTGCCTAGGTGCCTTACTCTTGGCGCACACCGAGCAGGAGGAAACGTACACCCTCACGTCCTTAGCCAAGGTAGGCCACCAGTACGTTCCACTCAAGCAGCACACTGTACGACCGATACCTGGGTGACCAGAGGAGGGTGACGTGTGTGCCCAGAAGATCAGACGATCACGGATAAGAGCAGGCACGTACCGCAGCCCAGCTGGACACTGCTGTGGAGATGGATCTGTGCGTAATGCCCGCTCTATATCCGCGTCCATCGCCCATACTACCGGCGCCACAATGCAGGAGGCCGGGAGTATGGGGGTGTTGTCTCTGGGCCTCTCCTCTGTGTCATACAGCCAGGATAGTGTGTCTGCCTTCACGTTCTTCGTACCCGGAATGTATGATAGTGTAAAATCAAACCGGGTGAAGAATACGGCCCATCTGGCCTGGCGAGGATTCAGCCTCCTCGCTGCCTGGATGTACTCCAGGTTACGGTGGTCCATCCAGACGAGGAAAGGGTGTTTCGCCCCTTCGAGCCAATGCCTCCACACGGTCAAAGCTCGGACAACAGCCAAAAGCTCCCGATCACCAACGTCGTAGTTCTGCTCCGCCGGGCTGAGCTTCTTCGAGAAGAAGGCACAGGGGCGGAGCTTGGGTGGCGTGCTTGAGCGTTGGGACAGGACAGCGCCTATCCCTACCTCAGATGCATCCATCTCCACTACGAACGGTAGTGATGGATCGGGGTAGGCCAGTACTGGAGCTGAGGTGAACAGACTCCACAGTCTCCTGAAGGCCAGATCCGCCTCAGCAGACCAGCGGAGCTGGGACGGCCCACCCTTCAACAGGGATGTGTTAGGAGCTGCAACCTTGCCAAAGCCCCGGATAAACCTTCGGTAGTAGTTGGCAAAGCCAAGGAATCGCTGCACCTCCTTAACCGTGGTTGGAGTCTGCCAATTACGCACAGCTGAAATGCGATCTCCCTCCAACTCCACACCTGAGGTGGTAACGCGGTATCCGAGGAAGGAGACGGACTGCTGGAAAAACATACACTTCTCTGCCTTGGCATAAAGGTCATTTTCCAACAGTCTGGCCAGCACTTTGCGAACCAGGGACACATGCTCGGCGCGAGTAGCGGAATACACCAGGATGTCATCGATGTAGACCACTACACCGCGACCAAGCATGTCCCGAAACACCTCAATCACAAAGGACTGGAAGACGGATGGAGCATTCATCAAACCGAAGGGCATCCCCAGGTATTCAAAATGCCCCGTGGTTGTGCTGACTGCCGTCTTCCACTCATCCCCCTCCCGAACACGCACCAGGTTGTATGCACTCCTGAGATCTAGCTTTGTGAAGAAGCGCGCCCCATGCATTGACTCGATCACTGAAGGAATGAGGGGGAGAGGATAACTAATTCTGATCGTCTCCTTGTTCAGGTGATCGATAATCAATGCACAGGCGCAGAACGCTGTCTTTCTTCTTCATAAAGAAGAAACTCGAGGAGGCGGGTGAAGTGGAGGGACGTATGTACCCCTGGCCCAGGGACTCGGAGACGTATGTTTCCATAGCCTCCGTTTCAGCCTGCGACAGGGGGTACACATGACTCCTGGGAGGTACAGCGTCTACCCGAAGGTCTATCGCGCAATCCCCCGCCCGATGAGGTGGTAATTTAGTAGCATGCATCTTGGAAAACGCGTGCACCAAATCGAGGTATTCGGGGGGAACGGTGGACGTACCATTTGGACTTTCCACCGTGGTTGCACCAACGGAAACATCTAGACACCTACCCTGACATTCACGCGACCACCCTGTGAGAGCCCTCTGCGGCCATGAGAAGGTGGGGTTGTGGAGTGCTAGCCAAGGGATACCTAATACCACAGGGAAAGCAGGAGATTCAATAATCGAAAAAATGACTTGCTCACAATGAGTCTCCTGGGTGATCATGGTGACCGGTATAATGACTTCCGTAACAAACCCGGACCCTAATGGTCGACTATTGAGTGCTCTGATGGGGAGTGGAAAGGAGAGGGGAACCAATGAAATGCCTTGACGGCATGCGAATGCCCTGTCCATAAAGTTCCCAGCTGCGCCTGAAGCGACTAGCGCCTTACACTTGGGAACTACCATGTGATCGGGAAAGTGGATAGGTAGGGTACAGTGTACAACAGAGGGCTCTAAACAAGTGTGGGTGTTCGATACCTGGGGTGATGCGTGAGTGCCCTGCCTGCCGCCTCCCGGCCCAAAACAACGTTGACTACGACGTGTGGTGTACTGTCCCTTCGTGCCACCAGAGTGACGCTGTCCTCCTCCGCTCTCTCGGCCGGCGGCTCCACCCAGCTCCATCGGCTCAGGATCCGAGTCGTCCGGGGTGGAAACGGGCAGACCCCTACCAGGACGTCCTCTGGCTGCCAGCAGGTTGTCCAAATGAATGGCCATGTCCACCAGTTTATCGAAGGACAACATGGTGTCCCGGCAGGCTAGCTCCCGTCGGACGTCCTCCCGCAGATGGCACCGGAAGTGGTCGATCAGGGCTCCCCGTTCCACCCGCGAAGTCCTCGTCCCCTGTCTCAGGTGGACCAGCCGCTCGCCCGCCTCTTGACCCTCGGGCGGGTGATCGAAGACCGCCCGAAAGAGGTGAGTGAACTCCCTGTAGTCCTCCAACATGGCTCCTCCCTCGTTCCACATCGCGTTGGCCCACTCCAGGGCTTTCCCACAGAGGCAGGAAACGAGGACGGACACCTTCTCCCACTCCGATGGCGCCGGTCTGATGCTGGCGAAGTAAAGTTCCAATTGGAGGAGGAATCCCTGGCACAGCACCACCGTCCCATCAAACGCCGTGGTCAGGATATCTGGATCCTTCCGGGTGCTGGGGTGTAGATGGCTGGATCCGGTTGGCCAGCTGGTCTCGACAGATCGGGTCTTCTCCTCTCCAGGCATTGGACGACCTGAAGAACCCGATCCATTGCTTCCCCCAAGCTGGCCAGCATCGTGGAATGCTCCTGGACCCGTGCCACGACTCCAGGCATGCGCTCTTCTCCCGCTGACTCCATAGCGGGTGGGTGATTCTGTGGTGAGTGTGGTGAAAGGAGTCAGGCGCAGGAGGGTAATCACCGAATACAGAGTGTATTCCTTTGTTGACACACATATGCGCTCCAATAGCGATCAACGAAACAGGCACAGGGGAAACAAACATCCCTGGCAATTACACTGTAACGGAATCCAATAATACAATAGGCACAGGGGGAAAATCTACCCTGGCAACACAATGTTATGAGTAGCTCCACCGAGCTACATACTCTCACAATTAACAATCACCCACAAGGACAGAGGGGCAGAGGGAACACTTATACACAGACTAATTAGGGGATAGGAACCAGGTGTGTGTGATTGACAAGATGAGACAATTGTGATGATGATTGGGGCGGCAGTGGTTAGTAAGCCGGTAACGACGAACGCCGAAGCCTGCCCGAACAAGGAGGGGAGGAAGCCTCGGCCGAAGTCGTGACAGAGGATAAAGACAATAGTCGTGTAGTAGGTGTAACTGAGTTAGAAATGCATCCCTGGTTTATTGTGAGTTTACCAAAATTAAGACACCATGTCAGAGACGGTATAGAAAATGTTACGGTATAGAAAATCCCACCATTATCTCCGCTTCACGGCTCTGGCTGGTTGCCTTTGGCAAAGATGCATTGCTTTGCAAATGGTGGATTGCAAGCACTCATGCTTGATTTAGAATGTACTTTTTAGAATGTTAAATAATATTAGTTATGAAAGTATTTTGAGGTCAAAACCAATGCTGATTGATCAAAACCAAGTCTTAAAGGGATAGTTCACCCAAATTACAAACTGACTGTCACGATTGTTGAGAGACAGGTCAGACCAAGGTGCAGCGTGGTATGCGTACATATTTATTAATGAAGATAAAACACTTGACAAAACAACAAAAGCAACGTAACGTGAAGTCCTATGGGCTATACTCACAACAAGCCTAACAGGAACACAAACAAGATCCCACAACTAAGGTAGGCAACCAGGCTACTTAAGTATGATGCCCAATCAGAGACAACGAGCGACAGCTGCCTCTGATTGGGAATCACACCCGGCCAAACATAGAAATACAAATACTAGACTCCAACATAGCAATACAATAACGTAGATCTCAAACTGAACTCACACCCTGACCCAACCAACAAGAGTTCTCTAGGTCAGGACGTGACAGTACCCCCCCCCCCCCCCCCAAAGGTGCGTACTCCGGCCGCACCAACCTAATTCATTAGGGGAGGGTCCAGGTGGGCATTCAGCCTCGGAGGCGGCTCCGGACGTGACGACCTCTCCCTCTCTGCCTCCCCGTTGCGCCCCTGGTCTGGACCTCGGCGCGATGCTTCCCCTCTCCTTCCTCCCATGATGCACCAAGCCCTGTCTGGACCCTGGTGTGGGAGACCCCGAACCTGGAGAGGGGCTGACGTCTGGGCCTGGATCGGCAATCCTCCCGCGATGCACCAAGCCCTGTCTGGACCCTGGTGTGGGAGGCCCCGACCCTGGAGAGGGGCTGACGTCTGGGCCTGGAGTAGAGCCGCTGCCCGGAGCTGAACTGGACCCCGGTGGAGCGGACTGCTCTGGCTCCGGAGTGGATCCACTGACCGGAGCTGAACTGAACACCGGTGGAGCGAAATGCTCTGACTCCGGAGTGGAACCGCTGACCGGAGCTGGACTGGGAACACGCACCACTGGTCTGGTGCGAGGAGCAGGCACGGGCCGTGCCGGACTGGAGACACGCACCACTGGTTTGGTGCGGGGAGCAGGTACGGGCCGTACTGGATTGGATATGCGCACCACTGGTTTGGTGCGGGGAGCAGGTACGGGGCGTACCGGGCTGGCGACACGCACCACTGGTTTGGTGCGGGGAGCAGGTACGGGCCGTACTGGACTGGATACACGCACCACTGGTTTGGTGCGGGGAGCAGGTACGGGGCGTACCGGGCTGGTCGACATGCACCACTGGTTTGGTGCGGGGAGCAGGTATGGGTCGACATGCACCACTGGTTTGGTGCGAGGAGTTGGCACAGGCCGTACCGGGCTGTGGAGGCGCACTGGAGGTCTGGAGCGTAGAGCTGGCACAACCCATCCTGGCTGGATGCCCACTTCCGCACGGTACGTGCGTGGCGTTAGCACAGGATGCACTGGACTGTGCAGGCGCACTGGCGACACAGTGCATATCTCCGCACAACATGGAGCCTGCACGGTCACACGCTTCTTAGCGCGAATACAGGGAGTTGGCTCTGCTCTGAACCCTGGCTCCGCCAACCACCCCGGGGCTGCTTCTCGGGCTTTCTTCGTGACCGAGTCCTTTTGAGTCGCCATTTCTCCTCCCTTGCTGCCTCTGTCTGCTCCCAAGGAAGGCGATCCATCCCAGCCTGGATCTCTTCCCATGTCCATGATCCCTTACCATTTAATATATCCTCTCAAGTCCATGATTTCTGCTCCTCCTGGGTACGCTGCTTGGTCCTTGTTTGGTGGGATCTTCTGTCACGATCGTTGAGAGACGGGTCAGACCAAGGTGCAGCGTGGTATGCGTACATATTTATTAATGAAGATAAAACACTTGACAAAACAACTAACGTAACGTGAAGTCCTATGGGCTATACTCACAACAAGCCTAACAGGAACACAAACAAGATCCCACAACTAAGGTAGGCAACCAGGCTACTTAAGTATGATCCCCAATCAGAGACAACGAGCGACAGCTGCCTCTGATTGGGAATCACACCCGGCCAAACATAGAAATACAAATACTAGACTCCAACATAGAAATACAATAACATAGATCTCAAACTGAACTCACACCCTGACCCAACCAACAAGAGTTTTCTAGGTCAGGGCATGACACTGACATATTGGTGTTCTTACCCTGCAATCCATGCTTTGGTTTTGTTTCCCCAGGCATGGTAGCATTTATGGCACAAATCCCATCGCGCATCACGTCCAAATCATCTATGTGATTTTGTTGAGCTACACAATCAATTTTAGATACTTTAGGACACGGTTTCCCAAACTTGGGGTCGCGAAACCATTTGGGGTTGCCTGATATGAAAATGGGGTTGCGACAGAAAAACTTGTGCTTGGTTCATAGAACCAGGGTTAGGTCAGTAACCTCCGGTAGCAGCTAGATGCTGTTGTAATAAACAGTGGTTTGGTTGCTTCTGTGGGAGTCTGTTAGATGACTGAATGTGATGTAGATGTTGAGCGGCTTCACTACAAGTAGATTGTATGTTTTAATATTCAATAAAAATAAAAATAGAAAGAGTGGTTTCTGTTTTCTTCATACAAATGTGGCTCTATCTTGTTTAAGCTACAAAATAGTATTACCCCATCACTGAAAGACAAGACTTATGAATACATACAGTGGGAAAAAAAAGTATTTAGTCAGCCACCAATTGTGCAAGTTCTCCCACTTAAAAAGATGAGAGAGGCCTGTAATTTTCATCATAGGTACACATCAACTATGACAGACAAAATGAGAAAAAAAAAATCCAGAAAATCACATTGTAGGATTTTTAATGAATTTATTTGCAAATTATGGTGGAAAATAAGTATTTGGTCAATAACAAAAGTTTCTCAATACTTTGTTATATACCCTTTGTTGGCAATGACACAGGTCAAACAGTTTCTGTAAGTCTTCACAAGGTTTTCACACACTGTTGCTGGTATTTTGGCCCATTCCTCCATGCAGATCTCCTCTAGAGCAGTGATGTTTTGGGGCTGTCGCTGGGCAACACAGACTTTCAACTCCCTCCAAAGATTTTCTATGGGGTTGAGATCTGGAGACTGGCTAGGCCACTCCAGGACCTTGAAATGCTTCTTACGAAGCCACTCCTTCGTTGCCCGGGCGGTGTGTTTGGGATCATTGTCATGCTGAAAGACCCAGCCACGTTTCATCTTCAATGCCCTTGCTGATGGAAGGAGGTTTTCACTCAAAATCTCACTATACATGGCCCCATTCATTCTTTCCTTTACGCGGATCAGTCGTCCTGGTCCCTTTGCAGAAAAACAGCCCCAAAGCATGATGTTTCCACCCCCATGCTTCACAGTAGGTATGGTGTTCTTTGGATGCAACTCAGCATTCTTTGTCCTCCAAACACAACGAGTTTTTACCAAAAAGTTATATTTTGGTTTCATCTGACCATATGACATTCTCCCAATCCTCTTCTGGATCATCCAAATACACTCTAGCAAACTTCAGACGGGCCTGGACATGTACTGGTTTAAGCAGGGGGACACGTCTGGCACTGCAGGATTTGAGTCCCTGGCGGCGTAGTGTGTTACTGATGGTAGGCTTTGTTATTTGGTCCCAGCTCTCTGCAGGTCATTCACTAGGTCCCCCCGTGTGGTTCTGGGATTTTTGCTCACCGTTCTTGTGATCATTTTGACCCCACGGGGTGAGATCTTGCGTGGAGCCCCAGATCGAGGGAGATTATCAGTGGTCTTGTATGTCTTCCATTTGCTAATAATTGCTCCCACAGTTGATTTCTTCAAACCAAGCTGCTTACCTATTGCAGATTCAGTCTTCCCAGCCTGGTGCAGGTCTACAATTTTGTTTCTGGTGTCCTTTGACAGCTCTTTGGTCTTGGCCATAGTGGAGTTTGGAGTGTGACTGTTTGAGGTTGTGGACAGGTGTCTTTTATACTGATAACAAGTTCAAACAGGTGCCATTAATACAGGTAACGAGTGGAGGACAGAGGAGCCTCTTAAAGAAGAAGTTACAGGTCTGTGAGAGCCAGAAATCTTGCTTGTTTGTAGGTGACCAAATACTTATTTTCCACCATAATTTGCAAATACATTTTAATTTTTCATTTTCTCAATTTGTCTGTCATAGTTGACGTGTACCTATGATGAAAATTACAGGCCTCTCTCATCTTTTTAAGTGGGAGAACTTGCACAATTGGTGGCTGACTAAATACTTTTTTTCCCCACTGTATGTACGTACTGTTTCCCTCAACTATACCCACAAGCCATTAGAACCGAGTGGACAAGACCAAGCACTAAATAAGACTGGTGATGATGTTCTGCTTCCCTGCTTTAGGATGATTTGGACATGAAATAGTGCCAGAGAAACAAAACCAAAGCATGGATTGCTGTTATACCTTGTCCATAGACTGCTTATGTAGCACATGGAGATGTGTGAAACTTTCTCCTCAGCCCGAAGTGTCCCTACTTGCACCACTGAATAGCTAGTTTTTCATGTAGTGCAACTGGTAAGGCACTTTGGAAGGTCGGTCACATGTGCTAGCAAGGGGGAGGTCCTGGGTTTGAGCCTTGGTGTGAGCCGAAGCGGGACTCGCTAAGCCTATTCCCCCTCAGGAGACTGAAAAGATTTGGCATGGGTCCTCAGATCCTCAAAAAATTATACAGCTGCACCATCGAGAGCATCCTGACTGGTTGCATCACCGCCTGGTATGGCAACTGGCAAGCTTCCTGCCATCCAGGACCTCTATACCAGGCGGTGTCAGAGGAAGGCCCTCAAAATTGTCAAAGACTCCAGCCACCCTAGTCATAGACTGTTCTCTCTGCTACCGCACGGCAAGCGGTACCGGAGTGCCAAGTCTAGGTCCAAAAGACTTCTCAACAGCTTCTACCCCCAAGCCATAAGACTCCTGAACAGCTAATCATGGCTACCCGGACTATTTGCACTGCCCCCCCACCCCATCCTTTTACGCTGCTGCTACTCTGTTAATTATTTATGCATAGTCACTTTAACTCTACCCACATGTACATATTACTTCAACTACCTCAACTAGCCGGTGCCCCCGCACATTGACTCTGCACCGGTACCCCCCTGTATATATAGCCTCCCTACTGTTATTTTATTTTACTTCTGCTCTTTTTTTCTCAACACTTTTTTTGTTGTTGTTTTATTTTTACTTTTTTGTTAAAAATAAATGCACTGTTGGTTAAGGGCTGTAAGTAAGCATTTCACTGTAATGTCTGCACCTGTTGAATTCGGCGCATGTGGCCAATAACATTTGATTTGATTTGATTTGATCAGCTTGACATCTGTTACAGAGGGTGCAAGTGACTCGAATATACAGTTGTGCTCAGCTCATCGCTGTTGAGTAAGTTTTGGGGGTGAATATAGCACATGGGGATGTGTGAAACGCTTGTCCATGCCCAGGGCGCTGTTCGAGAGACGCGGCGCTCCGTCAAAGCAATCTAACATAAATCACGTAGCGGCTACATTTGGGGATATCTTAGGTATACAGTGCCTTCAGAAAGTATTCTTACCCCTTGACTTAATCCACATTTTGTTGTGTTACAGCCTGAATTCAAATGGATAAAAACAAATATTAGTGTTTTCAAATTGATTGAAAATGAAATATGTAAATGAGTCAAAGTCAATACTTTGTAGAAGCACCTTAGTCGTCTTAGGTATGTCTGTATCAGCTTTGCACATCTGGATTTGGGGATTTTCTCCCATTCTTCCTTCTCTAGCTCTGTTAAGTTAAGTTAAATGGGAAGTGGCGGTGAACAGCAATCTTTCCACAGATTTACAATGGGATTCAAGTCTGGGCTTTTGAAGGGCCACACTAGGACTTTCACATTCTTGTTCTGAAGCCATTCCAGCATTGCTTTTGTTGTATGCCTGGGGTCATTGTCCTGTTGGAACATAAATCTTTGCCCCAGTCTAAGGTCGTTGGCACTTTGAAGCAGGTTCTCATCAAGGACTTGCCTGTATTTGGCTCCATTCATTGTTCTCTCTATCCTTAACAGTCTCCCAGTTCCGCTGAAAAACATACCCATAGTGTGATTTTGCCACCAGCATGCTTCACGGTAGGGATGGTGTTAAACGGGTGATGATCTTTGCCTGGTTTTCTCCAGACATAGCACTTTGCATTCAGGCCACAAAGTTCAATTTCTGTCTCATCAGACAGAGGAATCTTTTGCCTTATGATCTCAGAGTCTTTCCCGTGACTTTTTGCTAATTCCAGGCGTGCTGTCATTTGCCTTTTTTTCTAGGAGTGGCTAGCCACTCTCCCATAAAGCCCAGATTGGTGAAGTGCTGTAGAGACTGTTATCCCATCTCAGCCAAGGAACAATGACAATGTTTACATGTGCACAGTATTCCGGTTAGTAGCTCACATCTCGCTTAAACCTAGAGTCGAAATTGCATAATAAAAAAATCCCCATAAAAATATGTTCATTTTTTTTTTGCATTGGATGTGTCTCAATTCACCGCATCCGCCGATATAGCACTTCCGCATTTGCTGTGAAAGGTGACAGAGCTAGAGCGGTGTTTGTCAGACCATGATATCCCTAAAATCGGTCTTCACAAAATCGTCTGTAGCGCCCAAACAGACCCCTCTATGGCAGGAACTCTGTATTTTGACCACTCTATGGAAAGATGAGACTCTCACGAACATGATGGTTTTCTCCGTTTTGCTCTACTGCCCCACAAATGTCTTGGGACTTGTCTGAAGTCGGTACAGATGATCTGCCAACTTCTGTAGCACATGGTTTATGAACTGGTACAAAAAACAACACTTGATTCACAGTTTTTCCCATTTAAAATTATTACATACAATTCTTGCCACTAACAGAATGCTATATATATGGGGCATACAACAATCTCAGCTCTGTAGATTTTGCTGAAAAGAGACAGAATCACTAGATAATGTATTCTGGAATTGCCCCTATGTAGCTTGTTTCTGGTCACAGGTCCAGGAATGGTTAAAAAAAAATCACAACTTTCACTTAAAATTAACCTTACAAATAGCAGTGTTGGGCGATAGCCATAGTCAGTCAATAAATCATATAATACTCGTAGGAAAGTTTTATCTTTAGCTCACAATCTGTGGATACTATACGATTAGAAAGGTTCAAAATGTAAGGAAAACATCACAGCACAATTGAAAAATATATAGCATATGGAAACCAAACGAGGGTGGTCTATGGTGATAGGTGGGATGGGCTGAGAGTGGCTGAGGGGAGGGATTAAAGAGCTTATGTTTGGTTTCTAATGCTCGTGGCTTAATTGCCCAACATCACTAATGCTCTTATGGCGGAATGAAAGCATGTGAAGTGGTAGGCCACACAAGCTCACAGAACAGGACCGCTGAGTGCTGTAGCACGTAGCGCGTAAAAATCATCTGCCCTGACCTCAACCCCATCAAACAACTTTGGGATGAATTGGAAAGCCGACTGCGAGCCAGGCCTAATTGCCCAACATCAGTGCCAGACCTCACTAATGCTCTTGTGGCTGAATGAAAGCAAGTCCCCGCAGCAATGTTCCAACATCTAGTGGAAAGCCTTCCCAGAAGAGTGGAGGCTGTTATAGCAGCAAAGGGGGGACCAACTCCATATTAATGTCCACATGCCTTTGCTCATGTAGTGTATTATGAAGGCTACAACCTTCTGTCTGAAAGTAACGAATATTGCAGTTACACAAGCAGGACATAGTACCTACACATTGCATTTGAGCAAAAACCATCTTCATTTTGTGTGATGATGTAGGCTAATCTTTATAGTTGCTGTCATATCGAAACCACTACCCAGAGTTGCTGAAAGAGAACACTACTACTTTGACTGCCTGTCTGCCTCCTGCTATAGCCAATGTTTGCAATGATGTCTGTATTGCTTGTGTTTGATACGCTGCCTAGATAGCTGAATGTAACTCCCAACGTGAGTTTTGCATTGGGGGGGTGGGAACAGCTGCGTTTTAACCACATACAGGCTCTTTAACTGCTATTTCACATCTCAGTAGAGCCCCACAGTGGAGGTGTCATAATACCCATAAAACCTAGCGGTCAAACAGTGAAATGGTTCCTATCGTTTTTCCACCCTTAATTTTTCCCATAGGGGATTTTAGAAACACTTAAAATAAAGGCTGTGTTTCATGTAGGCTTACCCTGGCGTGACGTTTTGATAACCATGTAAATCTCTCTCGGACAAGGTGACTTTTATCAATATAGTCGGCCTCATTTACTCTGATTCGAAAATGCTAATTAGCACCAAAGTAGACATCATGCAAAACTACAAATCCCTGCACGCCATCTCTAACTGACACCTTTGCTAACAGGTATTTGTCAATTTAAAACTTGCACGACAGTTCACAGAATTGTCCATTTAAAGAAATGTTGCCAATTACTACATTTAGCTAACATTAGATTATCACGTTTCAGGAGAAGACCCAGATGCAGACAGTGTCGAAGTCACAAAAGTTTATTACAAAAACAGGGGGCAGGCAAACGACAGGTCAAAGGCAGGCAGAGGTCAGTAATCCAGGGTGGTGTTACAAGGTACAGAACGGCAGGCAGAATGGTCAAAACTAGAAAACATGAACTTGAGAAAGACAGGAGCAAGGGGAAAAACGTTGGTTGGCTTGACAAAACAAAACGAACTGGCAACAGACAAATATAAATATACTGGGGAAGATGGGCGACACCTGGAGGGAGGTGGAGACAATCACAAAGACAGGTGAAACAGATCAGGGTGCAACAGTACCCCCTGGGCTCATACTCTTCTGGGGTGCCAGCGTTGAAACTCAGCGATGAGGCCTAGGTCCAGGATGTCCCTAGCGAGGCCATAACCATCCCAGTCAACCAGGTACTGGAATACCCTGCCCCGAGGTCGAATCTTCAGGAGATGCTTCACCGTGTACGCCGGGTGGCTGACAGGGGAGATGGGTGGGCCTGGAAACAGGAGACAAGGGGCTGTGAGACATGGGTTTGATCACAGACACATGAAAAGTGGGATGGGTACGGGGCACAGAAGACGAACAGCAGAGGGGCTAATGATCTTGGAGATGGGGAAAGAGACGATAAACCGGGGTGAAAGTTTGCCGGACTTCACCCGGAGGGGCAGATCTCGGGTGGACAGCCATACCTTCCGTCCGAGACGATACAGGGGAGCTGGGGTCCGGTGGCGGTTCGCTTGTCATCGATACCTGACGGTGGTTTTGAGAAGAGCCGACCAGGCTCTCCTCCAGGTACGACGACAGCGGCGAACAAACATCTAGGCCGAGGGTATGCCGAACTCTTGCTCTTGCTCCAGGAAGAGAGGGGGCTGATAACCCAGGGAACACTCAAAGGGCGAAAGACCCGTGGCAGAGCAGGGAAGGGTGTTGCGGGCGTATTCGACCCACACTAGTTGCTGGCTCCAGGTGGTGGGGTTGGCGACCAGGCAGCGCAGAGTCGTCTCCAGGTCTTGGTTGGCTCGCACCGACTGGCCATTGGACTGAGGGTGGAAACGGGAGGACAGGCTGGCCGACGACCAATGAGTGTGCAGAACGCCTTCCAGAACCGGGACGAGAACTGAGGACCCCGATCAGAGACCATGTCCACTGGGAGTCCATAGCTCCAAAAGACGTGCTGCACCATGAGCTGGGCCATCACATTGGCAGAGGGTAGCTTGGGGAGATGAATGAAGTGGGCGGCTTTGGAAAACCGGTCCACAACAGTCAAGATGGCGGTGTTGCCATCAGACGAGGGAAGACCCATGACAAAGTCCAGGGATATATGAGACCAGGGACGGTGAGGAACAGGCAAAGGTTGGAGGAGACCAGCCGGAGCTTGCTGAGGAGTCTTGTTCTGCGCACAGATTGTGCAGGCGGCGAGGAACGTGGAGACATCAGGAACCATGGTAGGCCACCAAAAGCGTTGTCGCACAAAGGCCAGGGTCCGACGGGAGCCCGGGTGGCAGGCAAGCCTGGAGGAGTGGGCCCACCCCAGGCCCAAGGAGCGGACAGCGTCAGGAACAAACATCCGGTTATCTGCCGGGGAAGATGGGCGACACCTGGAGGGGGTGGAGACAATCACAAAGACAGGTGAAACAGATCAGGGTGTGACATAGATAGTTAATCCAGAGATTCTTACCTTTGCCTCGATTCGGCAGTCTCGTCCAGATCTTCATGGCATTTGAAGTTCTTTATGATAGCCACATTAGCAGCTAATTAGTGTTTCATTTTCGGGGGATAAAGACAGGCGAATATATTGATAAAAGTCACCTTATCAAAATGTCACGCCAGGGTAAACCTACACGAAACACAGCCCTTATTTTAAGTGTTTCTAAAATCCCCTATGGGATCCCTAACCATTTCCCTGTGTGACCGCTAGGTTTATGGGTATTATGACTGTGGTACTCTATGATCATCCTATTGAAGCTACATATTGGTTACAAGCCAGGTTTCCATCCAACCTTTTTATGCGAGTGAAGTACATCAGATTAAAAATGTCATGACAGGCCTGAAGGAAACAGCAAATTTGTCTGTAAACTTCCAAATGTTGACAAAAGAAAAAACGCTAGACAAGGTGGTATCTTTTTATGACGGTAAAATGTGTCATACAAGAAACGCTTTTATGCGCAAATATTGATGTAATAACCATCATATCGAAGTAAACTGGAAGTCACCCCATATGTTGTATGGTCCTCCCACTACAACTCGGGAAAGCGTGCAGGTTATTAGGCTACAGATGAAATAAATTATGAACTTCACAGTGTGGTGAAACTGCACGATGATGAGCTTGATGTTTCTTTACAATACATTTCGAGGGTTTTATTCTGGTGACGTGATATCGATGCTTGGCTGCCGTTTGACAAATAAAAATAATCGGGCACTTTTGTCCATAATAATCTCATCATATGTAGGCTATACCCGCACTGTATCTGCGAGCTGTTAGCTAGAGTGCACGTTTCCATGCCAGAGTGGGCACATTCACTATATACACAAAATTTTTTGTGACAAAACCATCCGCAGAGTTGAAAATGCTATGGAAACCCATTTAAAGCCATTTAATATGTACTTTTTTGGGCAACCGGACCAAATTAACATATAATTATGTGTTATAGATCTGTCATTCTCATTGAAAGCAAGTCTAATAAGCGGTAGATCTGTTCTATGTGTGCTATTTCTATGCTTCCTGTGCTTAAGTGTAATTTTTGCTTCTTTTGCTTCTTTACCTTCGGTTTTGTACACCAGATTCAAACAGCAAAAATACAATATTTTTGGTTATGTAAAATATATTTCACAGCGGTTTAGATGGTACAATGCTTTTCTTGCTTAGGCAAACTATTAGGATTTTTGCAACCATGAAATGGTGGGGCGTTTTCTGCATAGTGTGCATCTTTAACTTGTATTTGTTATTCGGTACATGTGAATTTAACTGCAAAATAAATGTTTTATTATGTCATTATGCAGTGACGTTCCGCCGCAACAAAATGGAAATACATCTCTGATGGAAAAATGCGCATATTGTTTTTATGTTGATTTTATAATATTCGTATGAAAATCTGTCATCCATTTAGTTGGATACCTAGCTTTGTCGACAAAACAAAATAAGCTAGACAAGGTGGGATATGTTTTTGGTCTGTGAAATTGATTGTGACAATTGCGATGGAAACGCTTTTATGCGCAAATATTCATAGAAAAACCACCCTGTTGCAGTAAACTTGGAGTTACACAATAATGTTGTACCCTACTACAACCACAACATGGAAAAGCATGCAGAATTTATAGGCAGATGGAATAAGTTAGGATGAACTTCATCACTTATTTCATAACTTCATAACTTATTGTGGTTATGTGCACGGTGATGAGCTTCATGCAAATGTCCAATAAATATGAGGGTAGGCTATCATTTGAACGATGCTGGTGACATGTTGCTTGGATACCCACATTTCTTGCTCCAGCCAAACGCTACGCCATGCCCACGGACGTTAGTTTCTTCTCCGAAATGAGTCTAGATCTGAGTACCTCCCTAGCACAAAGTTTCTAAACCTAGAGGCACAACATCGTGAGACTTCCAGGAACGCTTGCGAAACAAACGAAGCAGACCAGGCCGAGGTTTAAGAAGTCAATGAGAGAAGTGAACAATTATTCCTTAGTTGTTAATTTTCTTGAAATCTAAAGGCATAACAACCTAAGAAGAATTCGAGCCAATGTCTTAAGTAGTTGAACATGTTGTTACTCCAACCTCGTGAAAGTGACAAACTGACACGTTTTCATTTTTGTCAAAAACAATATTATATCGAAGGAGTGCCTTTGATTTGACAGCCTGCACATACTCAGTTCGGCGCGTGATGACTGTTAGACCCAATGACGTATTTCTATTTTCAACTTAACTTCCGGAAGTAGGAACTCCGCTCATACATCTTTCTTTCAATGCCTGCTACGTTAGGTTATTAAAACGGGGAGAATATGCTTACTTTCTTTATGAAACACCATTTTCCACACAGCATCTGGGAATAGCATTAGCCACTACTGTTGAGTAGTGCTGAGCGATTACAACTAATTGACCGACATCGGATTCATTCTTTGAATTCTATTTAGTTCGGGTTGTTTCTGTGAGCTCAATTCGCAGTTTCTCTAGAGAGAAATCAGATCAAGCCCAAACTGTGCAATGTAGTAGGGAGTTATAGTTTCCAACAGGCCAATATTCTACACAGTTTCATGCAGAAAACTGTGTGGGGCAGACAAGGAGAGGGAGAGAAGAGAGAAGGGATAGAGAGCAGTTACTTTACGAGGTATCTATACCGAAAATACATGATCTAAGTGATTGACAGTTGGTATTCAGCAGTCATAAAAGTATGTCTTATTTACTTTGAAAAACTACTCAAATTGTGATTTTGTCTGACAGCATAGGCGGCTGTCTAGATTAGATGATGACTTGGAATCAAATAAAACAAATGTAATATACCCATCAACTGAAATGTTTTATTAAAATAAAGTAATGTGAATAAATTATGGTTAATAAGTGATAAACAGTAATGGGCACTCACTACCATCAAGAGACCTCAAAAAGCACTAATCGCTCAGCACTGTTAGCCACTGTAGCATTATGGTGAAAAATTGTGTTTCATAAAGAAAGTAAGCATATTTTCCCCATTTCTTTCCCACGTTCTCGCCATTAAATCGTGTTAAGGAGGAAATTGCCGCCTTTGCCGCCTGAATGGAGAATGGTTTATGTACGAACCGTCCATGGGGGATACGTGTGTATAACAAGCTGCATACATACCCTTTGGTTGGCAAGATTAAACGACTCAATATCACCATCTGCCGGGCTTAGGTTACTCTGGGTGCTAACATTTGCATATTTTTTCGATGCAGGATGAAAATCTGTTGTCAATTGGATGGAAACCTAGCGAATGTTGCCAATTTAGCGACTTTGTCGCTATATTTTGTGAGTTTTCAGACACCTCCAACAAATGTTATTGGTAAAAGAGGCTAGTGATAAATTCAGCTACTTTTCAGGCTGCCTTTGGGGAGTTTAAATATTTTGCCAATCAAATACAAATCAACATATCAGCCTGGATCAAAATGACACTTTAGCGCGTCTGTGTTTGCATTACCTGCATGTGTACAAGACGAGCCATTGCTCAAGGAGAGAGAGACAGTCGGACATTGCTGCAGCAGGTAGCCTATAAAATAAATCAAATTGTATTTGTCATATGCGCCCAATACGACTGGTGTAGACTTTACTGTGAAATGCTTGCTTACGAGCCCTTCCCAACAATGCTGTTTAAAAATATAAATAAAATAGTAACACAAGGAATAAAATAAAATACACAAGAATGGATGTAATTTGAGTGTCCCAGATGTACATTTACTATCTTACGTTTAGTCTATGAGACCAGGCTGGCTAAATGACTCAAATGTACAAATGTAAATTTAGCAGTCTGGCTATTTAGCAGTTTTATGGCTTGGGGGTAGAAGCTTTCTCGGAGCATGATGGTCCGAGAACCGATGCTTCGGTACCATTTGCCGGATGGTAGCAATGTGAACTGTCTATGGCTTCGGTGGCTGGAGTCTTTGGCAATTCTTTAGGCCTTCCTTTGACACTGCCTGATATAGAGGTCCTGGGTGGCAGGGAGCTTGGCCCCAGTGATGTACTGGGCTGTGCGCACCACCCTCTGTAGCGCTTTGCGGCCAAGGGCGGTGCATTTGCCATACCAAGCAGTGATGCAGCCAATCAAGATGCTCTCAATGGTGCAGCTGAATAACTTTTTGACAAATCTTTTCAACCTCCTGAGGGAGAAGAGGCGCTTGGTCTTACTGCCATTGAGGGAGAGGTTGTTATCCTGGCACCACACTGCTAAGTCTCTGACCTGCTCCCTGTAGGCTGACTCATCGCCGTCTGTGATCACCGTTGTGTCCTCAGCAAATTTAATGATGGTGTTGGAGTTGTGCGTGACCACACAATTGTGAGAGTACAGGAGGGGACTAAGCACACACCCCTGAGGGGCCCCCGTGTAGAGGGTCAGCGTGGCGGAGGTGTTGTTGCCTACCATCACCACCTGGGGCCGGCCTGTCAGGAAGTCCAGGATCCAGTTGCAGAAGGAGGGGTTCAGTTTCAGAGTCCCTAGCTTGGTGATGAGCTTGGAGAAGACTATGGTGTTGAACGCTGAGCTGTAGTCTATGAACAGCATTCTCACATAGTTATTCCCCCTCTGGTCCAGGTGGGCGAGGGCAGTGTGAAGTGCAATTGAGATTGCATCAAATATGATAGAGAACAGACTAATAACTAGGTAGCCAATTCAAAAACAGATCTTGCACCCTTTAGTTAACTGTTTAGCTATTATTAGCATGTATTAATGTTTTCGTCATGTCCCAAAAAACTTTCCACCAACACTCGCAAATAAGGCCATACAAAGTTGATTTGCTTTTTTGAACAATTCATATGATTCATTTAAACTATTATTTTTTATGAAACTAACGATTCACTTCGCCATTGTATTAGTTGGAATTCGGTTCAATAGCGGTGAATCGAATACTGTGAATCAAAATAATAATTTGTGAATCACAAACAGTTATTTTTTGATTATATGGGACATTGCAACTCAATAGATGCTAGTCAGCCTGCAAAGTAAACACTTCTAAGGTAGAAAGTGCCCATCCCTGCCAAGGTGGTAGAACCCACTCCACCCAAGGTGATTGAGACCACCCCAGCCAAGGAGGAAGTGCCCATCCCAGCCAAGGTGGAAGTGCCCACCCTAGCCAAGGTGGAAGTGACCACCCCTGCTCTCAGGGTGGAGAAGCCCATTTCTACTGCTGCTGCCAAGTTGGTGAAAACTACACCTGTCCATGTTGCCTTTAACAAGGTCACCCAGATGACAGGTACACTCACCTTTTCTTCCTGTTTATTTCAGATAGTCAAAGTCTCTGACTATGTGTCTGTCTCTCTCTATATATATTAATTTTCTTCCTTCAGACTTACATTCCCTTAAATCAATGTTGGATCGTCTAAAACACTGGTTCCCAAACTGTGGGGTGAGGGGTCGGCAGGGGGATGCGGATGGAAAGGTAGGGGGAGATTAACAAATGCAAAACAAATACATGCATACACTACCGTTCAAAAGTTTGGGGTATCCATTAAAATAACATCAAATTGATCAGAAATACAGTGTAGACATTGTTAATGTTGTAAATGGCTATTGTAGCTGGAAACGGCTGACTTTTAATGGAATATCTACATAGGTGTACAGAGGCCCATTATCAGCAACCATCAGTCCTGTGTTCCAATGGCACGTTGTGTTTGCTAATCCAAGTTTATCATTTTAAAAGGCTAATTGATCATTAGAAAACCCTTTTGCAATTGTGTTAGCACAGCTGAAAACAGTTGTGCTGATTAAAGAAGCAATAAAACTGGCCTTCTTGAGACTAGTTGAGTATCTGGAGCATCAGCAATTGTGGGTTCGATTACAGGCTCAAAATGGCCAGAAACAAATAACTTTCTTCTGAAACTCATCAGTCTATTCTTGTTCTGAGAAATGAAGGCTATTCCATGAGAGAAATTGCCAAGAAACTGAAGATCTTGTATAACGCTGTGTACTACTCCCTTCACAGAACAGCGCAAACTGGCTCTAACCAGAATAGAAAGAGGAGTGGGAGGCCCCGGTGCACAACTGAGCAAGAGGACAAATACATTAGAGTGTCTAGTTTGAGAAACAGACGCCTCACAGGTCCTCAACTGGCAGCTTCATTAAATAGTACCCGCAAAACACCAGTCTCAACGTCAACAGTGAAGAGGCGACTCCGGGATGCTGACCTAGGCAGAGTTGCAAAGAAAAAGCCATATCTCAGACTGGCCAATAAAAATAAAAGATTAAGATGGACAAAAGAACACATACACTGGACAGAGGAAGATTGGAAAAAAGTTTTATGGACAGACGAATCGAAGTTTGAGGTGTTCGGATCACAAAGAAGAACATGCTGGAGGAGTGCTTGATGCCAGCTGTCAAGCATGGTGGAGGCAATGTGATGGTCTTGGGGTGCTTTGGTGGTGGTAAAGTGGGAGATTTATACAGGGTAAAAGGGATCTTGAAGAAGGAAGACAGATATCAAGAGGATTACATTCAGTATGGATTCACATGCCTCATGGTCGATGGGGATCCACATCCACAATATGTTGTGTTTGGATGTGCTAGCAAATTACAGTTTGAAGCCAGTGAAACTGAAGAGACATTTACACACCAAACACATTTACATTTACATTTACGTCATTTAGCAGACGCTCTTATCCAGAGCGACTTACAAATTGGTGCATTCACCTTATAGCCAGTGGGATAACCACTTTACAATGTTTTTATTTTTTTTGGGGGGGTGGGGTAAGGGGGGTGGTAGAAGGATTACTTTATCCTATCCCAGGTATTCCTTAAAGAGGTGGGGTTTCAAATGTCTCCGGAAGGTGGTGAGTGACTCCGCTGTCCTGGCGTCGTGAGGGAGCTTGTTCCACCATTGGGGTGCCAGAGCAGCGAACAGTTTTGACTGGGCTGAGTGGGAACTGTGCTTCCACAGAGGTAGGGGAGCCAGCAGGCCAGAGGTGGATGAACGCAATGCCCTCGTTTGGGTGTAGGGACTGATCAGAGCCTGAAGGTACGGAGGTGCTGTTCCCCTCACAGCTCCGTAGGCAAGCACCATGGTCTTGTAGCAGATGCGAGCTTCAACTGGAAGCCAGTGGAGTGTGCGGAGGAGCGAGGTGACGTGAGAGAACTTGGGAAGGTTGAACACCAGACGGGCTGCGGCATTCTGGATGAGTTGTAGGGGTTTAATGGCACAGGCAGGGAGCCCAGCCAACAGCGAGTTGCAGTAATCCAGATGGGAGATGACAAGTGCCTGGATTAGGGCCTGTGCCGCTTCCTGTGTAAGGCAGGGTCGTACTCTCCGAATGTTGTAGAGCATGAACCTACAGGATTGGGTCACCGCCTTGATGTTAGCGGAGAACGACAGGGTGTTGTCCAGGGTCACGCCAAGGCTCTTCGCACTCTGGGAGGAGGACACAACGGAGTTGTCAACCGTGATGGCGAGATCATGGAACGGGCAGTCCTTCCCCGGGAGGAAGAGCAGCTACGTCTTATCAAGGTTCAGCTTGAGGTGGTGATCCGTCATCGATACTGATATGTCTGCCAGACATGCAGAGATGCGATTCGCCACCTGGTTATCAGAAGGGGGAAAGGAGAAGATTAGTTGTGTGTCGTCTGCGTAGCAATGATAGGAGAGGCCATGTGAGGATATGACAGAGCCAAGTGACTTGGTGTATAGCGAGAATAGGAGAGGGCCTAGAACTGAGCCCTGGGGGACACCAGTGGTGAGAGCACGTGGTGCGGAGACAGCTTCTCGCCACGCCACTTGGTAGGAGCGACCGGTCAGGTAGGACGCAATCCAAGAGTGAGCCGCGCCGGAGATGCCCAGCTCGGAGAGGGTGGAGAGGAGGATCTGATGGTTCACAGTATCAAAGGCAGCAGACAGGTCTGGAAGGACAAGAGCAGAGGAGAGAGAGTTAGCTTTAGCAGTGCGGAGAGCCTCTGTGACACAGAGAAGAGCAGTCTCAGTTGAATGACCAGTCTTGAAACCTGACTGGTTTGGATCAAGAAGGTCATTCTGAGAGAGATAGCAAGAGAGTTGACTAAAGACGGCACGCTCAATAGTTTTGGAGAGAAAAGAAAGAAGGGATACTGGTCTGTAGTTGTTGACATCAGAGGGATCGAGTGTTGGTTTTTTGAGAAGGGGTGCAACTCTCGCTCTCTTGAAGACGGAAGGGACATAGCCAGCGGTCAAGGATGAGTTGATCAGCGAGGTGAGGTAAGGGAGAAGGTCACCAGAGATGGTCTGGAGAAGAGAGGAGGGGATAGGGTCAAGCAGGCAGGTTGTTGGGCGGCCGGCCGTCACAAGTCGCAAGATTTTATCTGGAGAGAGAGGGGAGAAAGAAGTCAAAGCATAGGGTAGGGCAGTGTGAGCAGGACCAGCAGTGTCATTTGACGTAACAAACGAGGATCGGATGTCGTCAACCTTCTTTTCAAAATGGTTGACGAAGTCATCCACAGAGAGGGAGGAGGGGGAGGGGGAGGAGGATTCAGCAGGGAGGAGAAGGTGGCAAAGAGCTTCCTAGGAGGCAGATGCTTGGAATTTAGAGTGGTAGAAAGTGGCCTTAGCAGCAGAAACAGATGAAGAAAATGTAGAGAGGAGGGAGTGAAAAGATGCCAGGTCCGCAGGGAGTCTAGTTTTCCTCCATTTCCGCTCGGCTGCCCAGAGCCCTGTTCTGTGAGCTCGCAATGAGTCATCAAGCCACGGAGCTGGAGGGGAGGACCGAGCCGGCCGGGTGTATAGGGGACATAGAGAGTCAAAGGATGCAGAAAGGGAGGAGAGGAGGGTTGAGGAGGCAGAATCAGGAGATTGGAGGGAGAAGGATTGAGCAGAGGGAAGAGATGATAGGATGGAAGAGGAGAGAGTAGCGGGAGAGAGAGAGCGAAGGTTGCGACGGCGCATTACCATCTGAGTAGGGGCAGAGTGAGTAGTGTTGGAGGAGAGCGAGAGAGAAAAGGATACAAAGTAGTGGTCGGAGACATGGAGGGGAGTTGCAGTGAGATGAGTAGAAGAACAGCATCTAGTAAAGATGAGGTCAAGCGTATTGCCTGCCTTGTGAGTAGGGGGGGACGGTGAGAGGGTGAGGTCAAAAGAGGAGAGGAGTGGAAAGAAGGAGGCAGAGAGAAATTAGTCAAAGGTAGACGTAGGGAGGTTGAAGTCCCCCAGAACTGTGAGGGGTGAGCCATCCTCAGGAAAGGAACTTATCAAGGCGTCAAGCTCATTGATGAACTCTCCAAGGGAACCTGGAGGGCGATAAATGACAAGGATGTTAAGCTTAAATGGGCTAGTGACTGTGACAGCATGGAATTCAAATGAGGAGATAGACAGATGGGTCAGGGGAAAAATAGAGAATGTCCACTTGGGAGAGATGAGGATTCCTGTGCCACCACCCCGCTGACCAGATGCTCTCGGGGTATGCGAGAACACATGGTCAGACGAGGAGAGAGCAGTAGGAGTAGCAGTGTTTTCAGTGGTAATCCATGTTTCCGTCAGCGCCAAGAAGTCGAGGGACTGGAGGGTAGCATAGGCTGAGATGAACTCTGCCTTGTTGGCAGCAGAACGGCAGTTCTAGTGGCTGCCTGAGACCTGGAAATCCACGTGGGTGGTGCGTGCAGGGACCACCAGGTTAGAGAGGCAGCAGTCACGCGGTGTGAGGCGTTTGTATAGCCTGTGCGGAGAGGAGAGAACAGGGATAGACAGAGGCATAGTTGACAGGCTGCAGAAAATGGCTACAATAATGCAAAGGAGATCGGAATGAAATGAACTAAACATCTGGGAAAGGAGAGAGCGGGGCCTCCCTCACCACAACACCCAAATATAACTCTCCCAACTTCCACCTCAGAAACTATAATTGTTGTAAACTACAGCGGTTCAATGTTTTCTAGGAATAGACTAACTTAGTTTATTCAGCTAGCTAACTTGGTACAGTAGTCTTCCGTGAAAATCGTCCAGGGCACCTAGTCATAAGACGCCACAGCCAGCTAGCATGCCGGACTCCAACAACATGGTTTAGCACCAATACTCGGCCACAACAAACCACCAGTGTGTCAACACGCCAAGCAGATAGTCCGTGTCCGTGTCTAACGTTGTGGGTTAGTCCCGACAGCTTGAGCGAGTCCGTCCTCAACTTATTCAGCCAGTTAGTTAGCTAGAATAGTTAGCATACTAGCTAGCCATTGCTTTCAGACAAAGAAGAAACCCCTCCTTTCACGGCACGAACACACAGAGAGAGCCAAGCTAACGTTAACTAGTCACCCATGTCCCGAATACCTTGAACGACTCTGGCTACCAATATGTAAAAACAAAACACAAATGTAGGTTATGACTTACCCCTAGCAGCTACTGTTAGCTAGCCAAGTGCAAAGCTAGCCACTGAATTGACTCAGCCAGTTCGCGTCTGTTCGCTAGGTCGTTCTAGCTATTGTTTACTAGTAGCTATCCAGGTAGCAACAAGCTAGCTAAATTTCAAGCACAGTAGCCACTTACTACCTAACGTTAACGGTTCAGACAATGAGGTTAGAAAACAGCTGAATGGTAGGCATTATTGTATGTAATTATTGTAGGCAGCCAGCTGGCGTAATTACAGGCACTCTCAGGCGTGAAACAACTATACCGTTGCTAATAGTTGCCAGTAGCTACCCGCCAGCTAGTCCAGGTAGTGGGTTAGCTAGCTAGCTTCGTGCTTCACCGGGCTCAGCCGAATATAATACTAACCTACAATAATTACATACAACAACCCACGATAACTACCTACAATACCTAACTACAATCTAAATACATAGTTTAAGCTACTCGACAAAGCCCAAACTATGTATAAAGCCAAGCTTACCCGACGACCTCACCCGACAACCTCCTCCTGCTACAGATGGCACTAACACCCAACACACACTGATTTTTTCCATCGCAAAGTTCAAGATGTGCATGGCCAAAAGCAGATATTGACCACACATAGTACAACCACTACCAAACCCCAAGCTGTATCTTATGAAGTGGCATATCTCATTGCAAAATCAAAAAAGCCACACACTATTGGTAACACTCACATTCTCCCCGCAGCAATAGCCATGTGTCAAGCTATGCATGGTGAGAAAATAGCCAGTCAGCTCAAACAAATCCCACTGTCTGATAATACCGTTGCCCAGCGAATAGATGGTATGGCAAAAGATACAGAGTCAGCTTATTGATCGTTTCAAAGAGAGTGGGAAATTTGCTCTACAACTTGATGAGTCGACTGATATATCGCATGCAGCTCTTATATTCGTAAGATAGGCCTACTGCTATGAGGGGAAACTACATGAAGATGTGTTATTTTGCAGTGCGCTTGAGGGGACATGCAAAGGACAGGATATATTCAACAAACCTGATGGAAAGATCCGGGAGGAGGGGCTGTGTTGGGAGAACTGTGTGCAGGGGTTAAAGTTCTCCATCACTGCGACAGATTTCCGTCTTATGGATTCTGGAGAGATTATTTTAGAGATCAGTGTAGATCCACAATAAAACACCTATGGTATTGCCCCTCAATTAAAAAAGCAGCTTTCAGAAAAGCTGAAAACTGAAATGTTTTCTTTCAATGCTGATGAATTCACCAATGAGAACATGGACAGAAAAGTTTCAACAAAGCAACTAGCTTCAAGGAAAGTCAACATTGCAGATGCATCAGCCCTTCTGCATCAGCCCTCAAGCTAACTGATATTCTCAATTCCTTTCGCCTAAACTGGAGTCAAATTGTTAGTATAATTCTGGATAACTGTGCAGTAATGAGGGGCAAAAAGTCTGCAGTGGAGACCTAAGCGCGAAATGAAAACCATGCACTTCTAGACATCAGTGGAGACACAGTTCACATGGTTTCCAATGCCTCTCCAGTCTTATGTAGAAGACTTCTGCTCTGATGTCTACATTGAAAAATTCCCCAAATAAAAGGAGGTTTTTGCAGAGTTCCAGTCTTTGCTTCATATGAAGATCAAGAGCCTAAAACAACTAATCAGCAGCAGGTTCCTGCAAATGCTGAAAGTATGCAACCGAGCACACAAGATGGATGCACTACTACAGCTTCTTGTCTCCCCCTGATCAACACAAACAAGATTTTTACGTTTTAGTAGACACTCTTATCCAGAGCAATTTACAGGAGCAATTAGGGTTAAGTGCCTTGTTCAAGGGCTCATCAATAGATCTTTCACCTAGTCAGCTCAAGGATTCAAACCAGCAACCTTTCTGTTACTGGTCCAATGCTCTTAACCGCTAGGCTACCTACCGCCCCATACTGTATGGCATCTTTGTTTTGAATGTATAATACCAAGTTATATATTGACTGTATTGCTTTTAGAATACACTGCTTTAGATGGCTCTAAATCTGGTGGTCCCAAAAGTAAAAGTGTGTGTGTGGCATAGCATAGGCATGACAGCATCACAGTTTTGTTGTATAATTTTGTTTTAAATATATTGTGTTGCAGATGGCTTCTCAACCAGGTTCTTGACAAGCATGCAGTTACATCTGATGAAAGGCCAGAATAACTTTTCTTCAACAACAGGCAAAATCTGTGAGTCGGACTTATGTCAACAGCAACCGGAAGAAACACATCTGTTTGCTGTTCTCAGAGTTCGACAAGCTGACAGCCTTAATCGATTTGTACAGAGGTACACTATATATACAAAAGTATATGGACACCCCTTCAAGTTAGTGGATTTGGCTATTTCAGCCACACCTGTTGTTGACAGGTGTATGAAATCGAGCACACAGCCATGCAATCTCGTTAGACAAACATTGGCAGTAGAATGGCCTTACTGAAGAGCTCAGTGACTTTCAACGTGGCACCATCATAGGATGCCACCTTTCCCACAAGTCAGTTCGTCAACTTTCTGCCCTGCTAGAGCTGCCCCGGTCAACTGTAAGTGCTGTTATTGTGAAGTGGAAACGTATAGGAGTAACAACGCCTCAGCCGCGAAGTGGTAGGCCACACAAGCTCACAGAACGGGACCACCGAGTGCTGAAGTGCGTAGTGCAACATTCACTACCGAGTTCCAAACTGCCTCTGGAAGCAACGTCAGCACAAGATCTGTTCGTCAGGAGCTTCATGAAATGGGTTTCCATGGCCGAGCAGCCGTACACAAGCCTAAGATCACCATGCGCAATGCCAAGCATCGCCTGGAGTGGTGTAAAGCTCGCGCCATTGGACTCTGGAGGAGTGGAAACGCTTTCTCTGGAGTGATGAATCTAGCTTCACCATCTGGCAGTCTGATGGATGAATCTGGGTTTGTCAGATGCCAGGAGAACGCTACCATAGTGCCAACTGTAAAGTTTGGTAGAGGAGGAATAATGGTCTGGGGCTGTTATTTATGGTTCGGGCTAGGCCCCTTAGTTCCAGTGAAGGGATATCTTAACGCTACAGCATACAATGACATTCTAGATGATACTGTGCTTCCAACTTTGTGGTAAGGGAAGGCCCTTTCCTGTTTCAGCATGACAATGCCCCGTGCACAAAGCGAGGTTTGTCGAGATCGGTGTGGAAGAACTTGACTGGCCTGCACAGAGCCCTGACCTCAACCCCATCGAATACCTTTGGGATGAATTGGAACGCAGACTGCGAGCCAGGCCTAGTGGCCCAACATCAGTGCCCGACCTCACTAATGCTCTTGTGGCTGAATGGAAGCAAGTCCCCTCAGCAATGTTCCAACATCTAGTGGAAAGCCTTCCCAAAAGAGTGGAGGCTGTTATAGCAGCAAAGTGGGGACCAACTCCATACTAATGCCCATGATTTTGGAATGAGATGTTCGACGAGCAGGTGTACACATACTTTTGGTCATGTTGTGTATGTTACTTCCTTTAGTTGAAAACTCACCTATATGACAACAGGACTATGTTTCCTCAAGCCATACATTTGCGTAATACCACGTGAAAGAAGTGGATTAAAATGACATGTCATTAATGAATGATGGTTAAAAGTGCTGTGCTTGCATTTTACTATAACATGCCTAATCAGTTGCTAGTATATTTTTCAGGTGTGCTTCCAACATTTCAGGGATTCCTGAAGAAGCTGCAGCACGAGAAGCCCCTAATACATATGCTGCATGTTGAGATGGTGGTGCTTGTCAGGGAAATCCTCTCCAAGTTCATCAACCCTGAAGCCATCCCACTCAGCGTGAAAGACCTGTTGAAGCGGGATGTCACAAGGAAAGAACTGCAGTACCCTGACAAAGGGTTGTCTGTAGGGAAATACAGCTTCACTGCGATGAACAAGGCTCGGATGGAGAAGAAGCCTTGGTTCAAAGATGTTTACATCTCACTAAGAGAGGGATACATGAAGGCAACAAGGTTTCTCCAGGAGAAGCTACCTCTGGCTAATAACACAATCACATGTCTATCTGCTCTCAATCCATCCTTGATTCTCCATGAATCTATCAGAGGGGCTTTCAATAGCTTGGGCAAATCTCTTCCAAATGTATTGAAAGCAGAGCAGCTTGGTCAGTTTGATGAAGAAGTCCGTGCTGGGAGCTCATTCCAAAGCTCGTGCCAAAGACTGTGGAGGATGCGGAACAAATTGATGTGGACTGGTGGAGCAAGGTGTTGGCCATGAAAACCTCTGTAGGTGAAAAGAGATTCCCCCTCATAGTGAAGCTGGTCAGGGCTTTACTGAGTGTTTTCATGGGCCCACTTGTTGAGGGATCCTTCAACCTTAAGGATGACATTCTTGAACCAGTATAAAGCTGGGATGTATGTGGAAACCTACGAAAGCTTAGCCATAATCAAGTCCAACATGAAGGCAGTTGGCATAACAGCCTCTACAATGGAGATTGACCATCCACTGAGAAGGACCTGTCTGTCCTCCTACCAAACATACCAAGAGCACCTGCAGTAGAAGAAGGAAATCAAGACTGCCGGCCCAGACGGCATCCCTAGTTGCGTCCTCAGAGCATACGCAGACCAGCAGATGGAGTGTTTACGGACATATTCAATCTCTCCCTATCCCAGTCTGCTGTCCCCACTTGCTTTAAGATGTCCACCATTGTTCCTGTACCAAAGAAAGCAAAGGTAACTGAACTAAATGACTATCGCCCCGTAACACTCATTTCTGTCGGCATGAAGTGCTTTGAGAGGCTAGTTACGGTGAAGTATGGTGGTGGCAGCATCATGCTGTGGGGATGTTTTTCAGCTGCAGGGACTGGGAGACTAGTCAGGATCAAGGGAAAGATGAACGGAGCAAAGTACAGAGAGGTCCTTGATAAAAACCTGCTCCAGAGCACTCAGGACCTCAGACTGGGGCAAAGGTTCACCTTCCAACAGGACAACGACCCTAAGCACACAGCCAAGACAACGCAGGAGTGGCTTCGGGACAAGTCTCTGAATGTCCTTGAGTGGCCCAGCCGGAGCCCGGACTTGAACCCAATCTAACATCTCTGGAGAGACTTGAAAATAGCTGTGCAGCAACGCTCCCCATCCTGACAGAGCTTGAGAGGATCTGCAGAGAAGAACGTGAGAAACTCCCCAAATACAGGTGTGCCAAGCAAGAAGACTCTGGGCTGTAATCGCTGCCAAAGGTGCTTCAACAACGTACTGAGTAAAGGTTCTGAATACTTATGTAAATGTAATATTTCAGTTTTTTATTTTTAATACATTTGCAAAAATTCCTAAAAACCTTGTGCTTTGTCATTATGGGGTATTGTGTGTAGATTGATGAGGGATAAAAACAATTTAATGCATTTCAGATTAAGGCTGTAACTTAACAAAATGTTGGAAAAGTGAAGGGGCCTGAATACTTTCTGAATGCACTGTGACAAAAAAAATTGTGACAAAACCATGAGTAGAGTTGAAAATGCGATGGAAACCCATTTCACTTGTATTTTTTATTAGGTACAGAATTTATGCGAAAAAAGTTAATTTTGTGTGCACTGATTTTTACCCGCATCAAGTCCATTTGGTGGAAACCCACCACTGGTGGGAAAATGCGCATATTTTCTTTCTGTGGATTCTAGAATATTCGCAAGAAAATCTGTCGCCAATTAGATGGAAACCTAGCTACTGAAATTCTTTGAACATTTTATTTTACCTCCATCCATTGTTTGGTTTAGGTGACTCGCTCCAATTCCACACAATGCTTATGTATTACTGTCCCATCCCTGGTTTTTGAAGCATCCTCAGGTCAGCACCAAGTGCACATCATTAATCTAATTCGGCTTCACAGAGATTAACTGGTTAGTCCTTATTTACCTTAGTCTGGGATTCCCTAGTCTATAACTAATTAATCTGAAATTAAGCAACGTCTCAGAAAGCAATTTTTTTTATCTGGATTAATTTAAGTAGAATTAGCCTAGTCCTGATTTAAATTAAACTCTGTCCTGGAAACCGCTCTGTGGTGTTAAGAAAAATTCTTACAAAATGTTATCATGTTTTTACAGCTACTCCTTACTGAGAAGGCCCTCCTAACATCTAACATAATTTTGCCTCTTTAAAACACTGAACCCTCATGTTTCTTTAAACTCTGTCTTTCTTCTTGCCCCCTTTCTTTATTCACCCTCCCTAAAATAGGGAATCTATCACGGTCATCATGTCCAATAAATTCAAATTAGGGAGCCTTAGCTCTGCTCCAGCCCCTTAATGCGATCTGGCTACACGAGCACACTCATTCATCCTGTGAGTCTCCATGCAGGGGACGATGCGATATCCGTCTCTTCCTGGATGGCCCATGCTGACCCCAGGCCTGTACTACAGCTAATTTAACGTCCTGTCTGTTTATTTATGAGGGCTGTTTGAGACGGCCAAACACAATGAATAACGCACTTCAGCTCTGTCTTTGGGAAGTATTAGTGGATTACAGTGTTTTTTTTAAAGCGACTTGCTGACACCGTTTACGTCCCTGGGCCAAAGCAGATTTGTGGAGCTGGCTGGCTCTCTCTTTGGGGTCACTGTTGAGATAGGAGAGGATGTTGTGCGGTTGTGTCGAAAAAACATGAGGAGAAATGGATGCCAAGTTTACTTGTCAAGTTTACTTACAAAGACACTTTGTCAACAGAAAATGTTTGACTGTTGTTAGTGTTGCAGTCTGCATTGGAAAATGACACCTCATTCATCAAATTCTGAGTAGACAAAAAGAGAAGAAGAAGAAAGACTGATAATATCCAAGAGAAGAAAGACTGATAATATCCTCTGATTCTGGTTTAGGCAAATCCTGTACACTCGCCTCATTGTTATACTGTATTTGTTCCCCAAAATATCCCACTTGACTTTGATCCAATCTTAAGGACAGCACACAAGATTCCAAGGCAATCAAGATAACATGGCTAAAAGCATCAGTGCTCCAAGTTAACTATCATGTTAATCACAGGCAGATTAGAACAACAGAACATTGTATTATCCATACGCAGCCCACTAAGAGCACCCCACAAATCAGCATCACCCGCAGAGGTCACAGAGTGCCTGAGAGGTCGTTTCACCACCAGCTTCGATCCTCATCCCGCACAACTAATCTCGATGGCCAACCAAAACAACCCCGCCGAATAGCTGCCGACGCTAAGGAATAAAAGGCAAATAAGACAGAGGACTAACAGCTATAGTTTTGATACGCACCAGGAAATGCAGGTGCACTCACTCTGTTCTGCCCCTTTCCGATTTCCTGGAAGCGGTGTCTGGACCACCAGTCCAGGTGGCCTAAAGACCAGACCGGAATGGACTTTCAATAAGAAATGTATAGTATTTACACCTGGAACTCCAACTGAATTAACCATCTCTTTGAATAATTAATGTAATTAATCAGTTTATGAGTAGAGCCAGAATGAAAACCATCTGATTTCCCTGGTCCACTCTGGGTATGGGCCAACACACTCTGATGGATGGGAAGCTGGGGCAACAATGGTGAGGTGATATTTATTAGTCTGTGATAATACAGCACAAGCAGCATGATGGGTTGCTTCCGGGCTGAGTACATACATGGTAACCACTAACCTGATCCACCATTCTGAAACAATGTAAGCTTGCGAGATCAAGATGGTTGATCAGGCTCGGTAACCACAGCTCTAGTTCAACATGCCTGTCTGTCTCTCTACCTCCTCATAAACCATAGACCTAATTTGTCCATCTCTGACTCACTCACTCAATCTCCTGTAATCTATTTGACCACTAGCATTTTTCTCTAGCACTACAGAGCTGTACAGACTCAACACTGACCTTGTGGGGACCTCTGCTGGTGTTTTACTGAAATTACAGTTCTTAACAACTGCTGCTTTTTAGAGTTCTGGTGTGATGAATATAAACCATGTTTCATGAGCTAAAATAAAAGATCCCAAAAGCGTATTTGTCTCAGATTTTGTGCACAAATGTGTTTACATCGCTGTTAGTGAGCATTTCCCCTTTGCCAAGATAATCCATCCACCTGACAGGTGTGGCATATCAAGAACCTGATTAAACAGCATGATCATTACACACAGGTGCACCTTGTGATGGGGACAATAAAAGGCCACTCTAAAATGTGCAGTTTTGACACAGAACACAATGCCACAGATGTTTCAAGTTTTGAGGGAGCATGCAATTGGCAAGTTGACTGCAGGAATGTACACCAGAGCTGTTGCCAGAGGATTGAATGTCAATTTTTCTACAAAGACACAATGTCGTTTTAGAGAATTTGGCACTACGTCCAACCGGCCTCACAACAGCAGACCATGTGTAACCACGCCAGCCAAGGACCTCAACATCTGGCTTCTTCACCTGCGGGATCGTCTGAGACCAACCACCCGGACAGCTGATAAAACTGTGGGTTAGCACAACCGAATAATTTCTGCAAAGTCAGAAACTGTCTAAGGTAAGCTCATCTGCGTGCTTGTCGTCCTCACTAGGGTCTTGACATGACTGCAATTAGGGGTCGTAACCGACTTCAGTGGGCAAATGCTCACATTCGATGGCCACTGGCATGCTGGAGAAGTGTGCTCTTCACAGATGAATCCCGATTTCAACTGTACCGGACAGATGGCAGACAGCGTGTATGGCGTCGTGTGGGCGGGCGGTTTGCTGATGTCAACGTTATGAACAGAGTGCCCCATGGTGGCGATGGGGTTACGGTACGGGCAGGCATAAGCTATGGACAACAAATACAATTTCATTTTATGGATGGCAATTTGAATGCACAGAGATACCGTGACGAGATCCTGAGGCCCATTGTCGTGCCATTCATCCGCCACCACCACCTCATGTTTCAGAATGATAAAGCACGGTCCCATGTCGTAAACAATTCCTGGAAGCTGAAAATGTCCCTGTTCTTCCATGGCCTGCATACTCACCAGACATGTCACCCATTGAGCATGTTTGGATTGGATGCTCTGGATCGACGTGTACGACAGCGTGTTCCGAGTTCCCACTAGGACTGGGTGGTATACCGTATTTTACTATATACCGGTATTGATGCATGGACCTGTTTGGGTTTTAACTTTACCTTCTATAACGGTATTTTAATGTTTGGTTTGTTAAATAAATGTGATACGCCTTGTGTAACATTCATTTTTATTATTTACTCTGCTACTTGAGTCATCTCTCTCTACTCTCTCTCTCTCTCCATGTCACTTTCCACACAGATCTAGCCCTGCCAACTGTCACTAAAGGAGCGCATTTGTTGTTGATCGACCATGAGACACTTGTGTTCAGTCTGCATGGTCAATGCAGCACATGCAACAATGTTGATGACAACGATGCTGTTTCCACTTTGCATCTTAATATATATCAACAAGTGCTCTATAATTACACTATTAGTTTGTGTTTCTTACATCTGCAAAAAGCTAGTTTGTCTTTTCTTAGCAAGTTGTCACTAAATTGTGTTAGCCGCTAATGCTAATTGCTAGTTAGCTGGCTAGCTAATAAATATAATGAGTCAGAACAAACGTAGCTATACAGCCTGATACCAGTGATGGTGTAGGCCTAAATCAGCATGTTGTTTGTGCAACAGTATCTTCTAAACCAAAGAGGATTAGGCAAAGCATGAATATGTTAGCTACATTAATGTAGCCAAAGATTATAGGGTCCCCTAGGAAACACTCACCAACATTTTGGTTCATACCCTATCACAATAACTCCTCCCTGGCACTTTCATTCGTTGTTATGTCAAACAATACTGTATTCAAAGTGCCCACTATTACAGTTGAAGTCGGAAGTTTACATACACCTTAGCCAAATACATTTAACCTCAGTTTTTCACAATTCCTGACAATTAATACTAGTACAAATTCCCTGTCTTAGGTCAGTTAGGATCACCACTTTATTTTAAGAATGTGAAATGTCAGAATAATAGTAGAGAGAATTATTTATTTCAGCTTTTATTTATTTCATCACATTCCCAGTGGGTCAGAAGTTTACATACACTCAATTAGTATTTGGTAGCATTGCCTTTAAATTGTTTAACTTGGGTCAAATGTTTTGGGTAGCCTTCCACAAGCTTCCCACAATAAGTTGGGTGAATTTTGGCCCATTCCTCCTGACAGAGCTGGTGTAACTGAGTCAGGTTTGTAGGCCTCCTTGCTCGCACACGCTTTTTCAGTTCTGCCCACAAATGTTCTATAGGATTGAGGTCAGGGCTTTGTGATGGCCACTCCAATACCTTGACTTTGTTGTCCTTAAGCCATTTTTCCACAACTTTGGAAGTATGCTTGGGGTCACTGTCCATTTGGAAGACCCATTTGCGACCATGCTTTAACTTCCTGACAGATGTTTTGAGATGTTGCTTTAATATATCCACATAATTTTCCTTCCTCATGTTGCCATCTATTTTATGAAGTGCACCAGTCCCTCCTGCAGCAAAGCACCCCCACAGCATGATGCTGCCACCCCGTGCTTCACGGTTGGGATGGTGTTCTTCCGCATGCAAGCAGCCCCCTTTTTCCTCCAAACATAACGATGGTCATTATGGCCAAACAGTTCTATTTTTGTTTCGTCAGACCAGAGGACATTTCTCAAAAAAGTACGATTTTTGTCCCAATGTGCAGTTGCAAACCGTAGTCTGGCTTTCTTATGACGGTTTTGGAGCAGTGGCTTCTTCCTTGCTGAGCGGCCTTTCAGGTTATGTCGATATAGGACTCGTTTTACTGTGGATATAGATACTTTTATACCTGTTTCCTCCAGCATCTTCACAAGGTCCTTTGCTGTTGTTCCGGGATTGATTTGCACTTTTCGCACCTAAGTACGTTCATCTGTAGGAGACAGAACGCATCTCCTTCCTGAGCGGTATGACGGCTGCGTGGTCCCATGGTGTTTATACTTGCGTACTATTGTTTGTACAGATGAACGTGGTACCTTCAGGCGTTTGGAAATTGCTCCCAATGATGTCAATTAGCTTATCAGATGCTTCTAAAGCAATGACATCATTTTCTGGAATTTTCCAAGCTGTTTAAAGGCACAGTCAACTTAGTGTATGTAAACTTCTGACCCACTGGAATTGTGATACAGTGAATTATAAGTGAAATAATCTGTCTGTAAACAATTGTTGGAAAAATTACTTGTATCATGCACAAAGTAGATGTCCTAACCGACTTGCCAAAGCTATAGTTTGTTAACAAGAAATTTGTGGAGTGGTTGAAAAACGAGTTTTAATGACTCCAACCTAAGTGTATGTAAACTTCCGACTTCAACTGTATACTGTATAACGTACCTAAAAGCAAGAGATCGCTATGTGCACAGGTAAGATCAGGGATATTGTGGTGAAATGGAAGAGGAAAGACTATGTAACTATTGTGACTTCGAAGAAATAGAGAATTAAACTCATTTTATCCTCTACTGACCTTTCTAGCACAATATACAGTACCAGTCAAAAGTTTGGACACACCTACTTATTCATTGTAGAATAATATTGAAGACATCAAAACTATGAAATAACACATATGGAATCATGTAGTAAACAAAAAAAAGTGTTAATCAAATCAAAGTATATTTTAGATTTGAGAATATGCAAATAGCCAACCTTTGCCTTGATGACAGCTTTGCACACTCTTGGCATTCTCTCAACCAGCTTCACCTGGAATGCTTTTCGAACAGTCTTGAAGGAGTTCCCACATATGCTGTGCACTTGATGGCTGCTTTTTCTTCACTCTGCGGTCCAACTCATCCCAAACCATCTCAATTGGGTTGAGGTTGGGTGATTGTGGAGGCCAGGTCATCTGATGCAGCACTCCATCACTCTTCTTCTTGGTCAAATAGCCCTTAAACAGCCTGGAGGTGTGTTTTGGGTCATTGTCCTGTTAAAAAACAAATGATAGTCCCTCTAAGCACAAACCAGATGGGATGGCGTATAGCTGCAGAATGCTGTGGTAGCCATGCTGGTTAAGTGTGCCTTGAATTCTAAATAAATCTTCTGTTAGTGTCACCAGCAAAGCACCCCCACACCATCACACCTCCTCCTCCATGCTTCACGGTGGGAACCACACATGCGGAGATCATCCGTTCACCTACACTGCGTCTCACAAAGACACGGCGGTTGAAACCAAAAATCTCAAATGTGGACTCATCAGACCAAAGGACAGATTTCCACCGGTCTAATGTCCATTGCTCATGTTTCTTGGCCCAAGCAAGTCTCTTCTTCCTATTGGTGTCCTTTAGTAGGGGTTTCTTTGCAGGAATTCGACCATGAAGGCCTGATTCACGCAGTCTCCTCTGAACAGTTGATGTTGAGATGTGTCTGTTACTTGAACTCTGTGAAGCAATCTGAGGTGCAGTTAACTCTAATGAACTTATCTTCTACAGCAGAGGTAACTCTGGGTCTTCCTTTCCTGTGGCGGTCCTCATGAGAGCCAGTTTCATCATAGCGCTTGATGGTTTTTGCGACTGCACTTGAAAAAACTTTCAAAGTTCTTGAAATTTTCCAGATTGACTGACCTTCATGTCTTAAAGTAATGATGGACTGTCACTTATTTGTTCTTGCCATAATAGGCTTGGTATTTTACCAAATATGAATATCTTCTGTATACCACCCCTACCTTGTCACAACACAACTGATTGGCTCAAACGCATTAAGAAGGAATGAAATTCCACCAATTAACTTCTAACAAGGCACACCTGTTAATTGAAATGCATTCCAGGTGACTACCTCATGAAGCTGGTTGAGAGAATGCCAAGACTGTGCAAAGCTGTCAGCAAGGCAAAGGATGGCTACTTTGAAGAATCTCAAATATAAAATATATTTTGATTTGTTTAACACTTTCTTGGTAACTACATGATTCCATATGTGTTATTTCATAGTTTTGATGTCTTCACTATTATTCTACAATGTAGAAAATAGTAAAAATAAATAAAAACCCTTAAATGAGTAGGTGTGTCCAAACTTTTGACTGGTACTGTGTATATATATACTCCGGACTCCGACATTGCTCATCCTAATATTTCTATATTTCTCAATATATTTCTTATATATTATTTTACGTTTTATATTTGTGTGTATTGTTAGATATTACTGCATTGTTGGAGCTAGGAACATAAGCATTTTGCTACACCCACAATAACATCTGCTAAATATGTGTATGTGACCAATAACATTTGATTTGATTTTATTTGAGATACTGACTGGTTTTCTGAGTCACACCCCTACCTTTTTTAAAAGATATCTGTGACCAACAGATGCATATCTGTATTCCCAATCATGTGAAATCCATAGATTAGGGCCTAATGAATTCATTTAAATTGACTGATTTCCTTATATGAACTGTAAAATCTTTGAAATTGTTGCATGTTGCGTTTATATTTTTGTTCAGTGTAGTTGGTGAATGTGTATATTAATTTGCAAAAAATAGTTCCTACTTTTGTCACTAGATGTCAGTAGAAATACTGTTGGATGGTGTGTTCTTATTTTTTGAGATGTATGTTTTTAGAAAATCAATTTTCACAAAAAATATGATTGAATTAAAAACTCTAAACTGTCTTGATAAGGCTTCTTTAAGGTGTAACCTTTACATAGACATTTGTTAGAAGTCTGTGAAAGTTTATCTACAACCTAATCTGAGTACCAAGATATATTTTCTATAGGAGTTTTCCCTAAAACAAGGCCCAGGCCTAAAGCGCCAAAAACCTCCCCAAAATGTCACACTGTGTGAAAACGTTCTATCCAATTTTGCAGAACATTTTTTATTGTCAAACTGAAATGATATGATAAGGACTATTTTCCCCCCATGAGATTGAAATATGAGTTCTATTTAGAAGTCCTCTTCAACTGAATTGTTTACCAAAACAATACAAAAATGAACTGTCATTTATTAACATAAACATCCACACACATGTACACTATCACATTAGGCTATGTCTAGAGAGCTGAACACATACACATGTACAGTAAGGGAAAAAGTATTTGATCCCCTGCTGATTTTGTACGTTTGCCCACTGACAAAGAAATGATCAGTCTATCATTTTAATGGTAGGTTTATTTGAACAGTGAGAGTCAGAATAACAACAACAAAATCCAGAAAAACGCATGTAAAACATGTTATAAATTGATTTGCATTTTAATGAGGGAAATAAGTATTTGACCCCCTCTCAATCAGAAAGATTTCTGGCTCCCAGTTGTCTTTTATACAGGTAACGAGCTGAGACTAGGAGCACACTCTCCACCATGGCCAAGACCAAAGAGCTCTCCAAGGATGTCAGGGATACATGGAATGGGCTACAAGACCATCGCCAAGCAGCGATGGTCTTGTGAGAAGGTGACAACAGTTGGTGCGATTATTCGCAAATGGAAGAAACATCAAATAACTGTCAATCTCCCTCGGCCTGGGGCTCCATGCAAGATCTCACCTCGTGGAGTTGCAATGATCATGAGAACGGTGAGGAATCAGCCCAGAACTACACAGGAGGATCTTGTCAATGATCTCAAGGCAGCTGGGACCATAGTCACCAAGAAAACAATTGGTAACACACTACGCCGTGAAGGACTGAAATCCTGCAGCGCCCGCAAGGTCCCCCTGCTCAAGAAAGCACATATACAGGCCCGTCTGAAGTTTGCCAATGAACATCTGAATGACTCAGAGGAGAACTGGGTGAAAGTGTTGTGGTCAGATGAGACCAAAATCGAGCTCTTTGGCATCAACTCAACTCGCCGTGTTTGGAGGAGGAGGAATGCTGCCTATGACCCCAAGAACACCATCCCCACCGTCAAACATGGAAGTGGAAACATTATGTTTTGAAGGTGTTTTTCTGCTAAGGGGACAGGACAACTTCACTGCATCAAAGGGACGATGGACGGGGCCATGTACCGTCAAATCTTGGGTGAGAACCTCCTTCCCTCAGCCAGGGCATTGAAAATGGGTCGTGGATGGGTATTCCAGCATGACAATGACCCAAAACACACGGCCAAGGCAACAAAGGAGTGGCTCAAGAAGAAGCACATTAAGGTCATGGAGTGGCATAGCCAGTCTCCAGACCTTAATCCCATAGAAAATCTGTGGAGGGAGCTGAAGGTTCGAGTTGCCAAATGTCAGCCTCGAAACCTTAATGACTTGGAGAAGATCTGCAAAGAGGAGTGGAACAAAATCCCTCCTGAGATGTGTGCGTCTGACCTCTGTGATTGCCAACAAGGGTTTTGCCACCAAGTACTAAGTCATGTTTTGCAGAGGGGTCAAATACTTATTTCCCTCATTAAAATGCAAATTCAAATAAACCTACCATTAAAATGATAGACTGATCATTTCTTTGTCAGTGGGCAAACGTACAAAATCAGCAGGGGATCAAATACTTTTTTCCCTCACTGTATGCATCTAAAACTCACATGCCCACTTTCTAACATGAAATATAGAGTCTTGAAGCACTGGGTGCAATAAAAGAGCCAGTGCTCCCTGTTTGTAAACTATGATCTCTCTACCAGGTACATTGCAAGACTAAACCCTACAGTTGTGGTCAGAAGTTTTGAGAATGACACAAATACTAATTTTCACAAAGTCTGTGTCAACGATGTAGTGATGGTGTGGTGGGGAATCAGGCGCAGAAGCAGAGGTACAGTCCAACAAGACTTTACTATGCAAAATAATCCACAAACGGCAGGAGGCCAAACAGACGCGCACAGGCGTCAACACACGATCGCACGAAAACACAGTGCGCAAAACTCTCCTCAACAGAGGAGGACACTACTAATACTGGCGTACTGGAAAAATAACACAGCTACGCAACCATCTGACAAGCGACAATTACACACAACACTATACACACAAACAGGGAACTAAATAGGGTGCATAATGATACCTAACACAAAACAGGTGTGGCTAACAGACAAAACTAATCAAACAGGAAACACAGAACATAGAACGGTGGCAGCTAGAATTCCGGAGACGACGAACGCCGAAGCCTGCCCGAACAAGGGAGAGAGGCCACCTCGGCCGAAACCGTGACAGTACCCCCCCCTTGACGCGCGGCTCCAGACGCGCGCCGACTCCGGCCTTGGGGACGACCCGGAGGCCGCGGCGCAGGGCGCGTCGGATACCCCCGATGGAATTCCGTCAGGAGCGACGGGTCCAAAATGTCTCTCCTCGGCACCCAGCACCGCTCCTCCGGACCGTACCCCTCCCACTCCACTAGATACTGAAGACCCCCCCTCCGACGTCTAGAATCCAAGATGGATCTTACAGTGTACGCCGGTGCCCCCTCGATGTCCAACGGGGGCGGGGGAGTCTCCAAGATCTCATGTTCTTGAAGTGGGCCCGCTACCACCGGCCTGAGAAGGGACACATGGAACGAGGGGTTAATACACTTATACTCCACTGGTAACTGTAATCTATAACAAACCTCGTTCAACCTTCTCAGGACTTTAAATGGCCCTACAAACCGCCGACCCAGTTTCCGACAGGGCAGGCGGAGGGGCAGGTTTCTGGCAGAGAGCCAGACTCGATCTCCAGGTGCGTACACAGGCCCCTCACTGCGGTGTAGGTCGGCGCTCGTCTTCTGTCGACGTATGGCACGCTGCAGATGGACGTGTGCAGCGTTCCACGTCTCCTCCGAGCGCCGCACCCACTCATCCACAGCGGGGGCCTCGATCTGGCTCTCATGCCATGGTGCCAGAACCGGCTGGTACCCTAAAACACACTGAAAAGGGGTTAGTTGGGTGGAGGAGTGGCGGAGAGAGTTCTGTGCCATCTCGGCCCAGGGCACATATCTCGCCCACTCCTCCGGCCGGTCCCGGCAGTATGTTCTGAGAAACCTGCCCACATCCTGGTTTACGCGTTCCACCTGCCCATTACTCTCCGGGTGGTAACCCGAGGTGAGACTCACCGAGACCCCCAACCGCTCCATAAAAGCTCTCCAGACTCTGGAGGTGAATTGGGGACCCCGGTCAGCCACAATGTCCTCGGGCACCCCGTAGTGCCGGAACACATGAGTGAATAGTGCTTCGGCGGTCTGTAGGGCAGTAGGAAGACCCGGCATGGGGAGCAAACGACAGGCCTTAGAGAACCGGTCCACAACGACCAGGAGTGTAGTATTCCCTTGAGAGAGGGGAAGGTCAGTTATAAAATCCACCGAGAGGTGGGACCATGGTCGTTGTGGAACGGGCAGGGGCAGTAACTTACCCCTAGGCAGATGTCTAGGCGCCTTACACTGGGCGCACACCGAGCAGGAGGAAACATAAACCCTCACATCCCTGGCCAACGTGGGCCACCAATATTTGGCACTAAGACAGTGCACTGTCCGGCCGATACCCGGATGTCCAGAGGAGGGTGACGTGTGAGCCCAATAGATCAATCGATCCCGACACTCGAGCGGAACATACTTCCGACCCTCCGGGCATTGTGGTGGACTAGGGTCGGTGCGTAATGCCCGCTCGAGCTCAGAATCGAGCTCCCACACCACCGGTGCCACTAGACACGACTCCGGCAGTATGGGAGTGGGCTCCACGGACCTCTCCTCCCCGTCATACCGCCGAGACAGTGCATCTGCCTTACCGTTTTGTGACCCAGGGATGTAGGTGATCTTAAAAGAGAAACGGGTCAAAAACATACTCCATCTAGCCTGTCGAGGGTTCAGCCTCCTCGCTGCCCGGATGTACTCCAGGTTACGGTGGTCCGTCAAAATGAGGAAAGGGTGTTGAGCCCCCTCAAGCCAGTGCCTCCACACCTTAAGGGCCTGTACCACAGCTAACAGCTCCCTGTCCCCTACGTCATAATTTCGCTCCGCCGGGCTGAGCTTCTTGGAATAGAAGGCACAGGGGCGGAGTTTAGGTGGCGCGCCTGACCGTTGTGAAAGCACGGCGCCAATACCGGCTTCAGACGCGTCCACCTCTACCTGAAATGGTAAAGAGGGATCCGGATGCGCCAGCACCGGAGCCGAGGTGAACAGGTCCTTCAGCTTCTCAAACGCCCTGTCCGCCTCGACTGACCACTGCAGACGCACTGGGCCCCCCTTTAAGAGAGACGTGATGGGAGCTGCCACTTGCCCAAAACCCCGGATAAACCTCCGGTAGTAATTCGCAAACCCCAAAAACTGCTGCACCTCTTTCACAGTGGTTGGTGTTTGCCAATTACGCACGGCTGACACTCGGTCTACCTCCATCTTCACCCCTGACGCAGACAACTGATACCCCAAAAAGGAAATCGACTCCTGGAAAAACAGACACTTCTCTGCCTTCACATACAGGTCGTGCTCCACCAGCCTCCGCAACACCCTGCGCACCAGGGCCACATGCTCGACACGGGTAGGTGAGTACACGAGAATGTCATCTATGTACACCACGACTCCCTGTCCCTGCATGTCCCTGAAGATCTCATCCACGAATGATTGGAAAACTGACGGAGCATTCATCAACCCGTATGGCATGACTAGATACTCGTAATGGCCCGAGGTGGTACTAAAGGCTGTTTTCCATTCATCATCCTTCCTGATGCGCACCAAGTTGTACGCGCTCCTGAGATCTAATTTCGTGAAGAAACGCGCCCCATGCAACGACTCAGTCATGGTCGCAATCAGCGGGAGTGGATAACTATACTTCACCGTAATCTGATTGAGACCACGATAATCGATGCACGGACGCAAACCCCCATCCTTCTTCTTCACGAAAAAGAAACTCGAGGACGCGGGGGAAGTGGACGGCCGTATGTATCCTTGTCTCAGTGATTCGTCTATGTAAACCTCCATAGCTTTCTTCTCCTCCTGAGACAGAGGATACACATGACTCCGTGGGAGCGCAGCTCCTGCCTGAAGGTCTATCGCACAATCCCCCTGCCTATGGGGTGGCAACCGCGTCGCCCTCGCCTTACTAAACGCGATAGCCAAATCCCCATACTCAGGTGGAATGTGCAATGCGGGCACCTGGTTTGGACTCTCCACCGAGGTAGCCCCTATGGAAACGCCAAACATCTACCCACACACTGAGCAGACCACTCCATCAGAGCCCTCTCCTGCCACGAAATAACGGGGTTATGGGTACTTAACCAGGGCATGCCCAGCACCACCGGATACGCAGGAGAGTCAATCAGAAACAGTTGAATTATCTCCTGATGATTCCCCTGCGCACACATCCTAAGTGGCGCCGTGACCTCCCTGATTAAGCCCGTACCCAACGGACGACTATCTAGGGCGTGAACGGGAAAAGGAACATCAACAGGGAGAAGGGGAAACCCTAACTCTAAACAAAACTTTTTATCAATGAAATTCCCAGCCGCGCCTGAATCTACCAGCGCCTTATACTGGGAATGAGGTGCCACCTGCGGGAAACGCACAGGCATACAAAAATGGGCAACAGTGAGCTCTGGGTGAGTGGGGCGCCTACTCACCTGGAGGGAATCCCCAGTGCGGGACCTGTCGTCATCTCCCCGAGGAGGCCATCCCCAGCACCTAGCCGCGGTGTGTCCTCCCCGACCACAGTTGGTGCAGTGGATGGACCCCCTCACCTGCCGACTCCTCCTATCTCTAGCGCCAGCGCCCCCGAGCTCAATAGGACACGGCTCGGATGCGCTGGAGGGTGAAATGGACGGACCCCCCTCAGGACGTCCGCGGGTGGCCAATAGGTTATCTAACCTGATTGACATGTCGACCAGCTGGTCGAAAGAGAGACTGGTGTCCCTACAGGCCAGCTCCCTACGGACGTCCTCCCTTAGGCTACATCGATATATATCGACGAGGGCCCGCTCATTCCACCCTGCGTCAGCCGCTAGAGTACGGAATTCAAGCGCGAATTCCTGAGCACTCCTCCTCCCCTGCCGGAGGAAGACCAGACGCTCCCCCGCCGCTTTCCCCTCCGGGGGATGGTCGAACACCGCCCTAAAGCGACGGGAGAACTCGTCGTAGGTGATACTCGCGGCGTCGATCTTCCTCCACTCCGCGTTGGCCCATTCCAACGCCTTCCCGGACAGGCAGGATATCAGGGCAGACACGCTCTCATGCCCCGAGGGGGCCGGGTGTACGGTGGCCAGGTACAACTCCACCTGGAGGAGGAATCCCTGACACCCAGCCGCGGTTCCGTCGTAGGCCCTCGGGAGAGCGAGTCGGATACCTCGGTGTTCTGGCGCTGGAATGGGCAGGCTGGCCGATGGTGCTGGCTGGGCTGGCGGTGAGGAAGGTGGTGGAGGTGCGCCCCAGCCTCGGAGCGTGGTGATTACCTCCTGCAGGGCGGTTCCCATCTGGAGGATCTGTTCCTGTTGCTCCCGAACCTGGACCTCCAGTCTCGTCGGCGCTGCTTCGGCTCCCGCTGATTCCATGCTTAAGGTGTGTAATTCTGTCAACGATGTAGTGATGGTGTGGTGGGGAATCAGGCGCAGAAGCAGAGGTACAGTCCAACAAGACTTTACTATGCAAAATAATCCACAAACGGCAGGAGGCCAAACAGACGCGCACAGGCGTCAACACACGATCGCACGAAAACACAGTGCGCAAAACTCTCCTCAACAGAGGAGGACACTACTAATACTGGCGTACTGGAAAAATAACACAGCTACGCAACCATCTGACAAGCGACAATTACACACAACACTATACACACAAACAGGGAACTAAATAGGGTGCATAATGATACCTAACACAAAACAGGTGTGGCTAACAGACAAAACTAATCAAACAGGAAACACAGAACATAGAACGGTGGCAGCTAGAATTCCGGAGACGACGAACGCCGAAGCCTGCCCGAACAAGGGAGAGAGGCCGCCTCGGCCGAAACCGTGACAGTCTGCTGCCTCAGTTTTGATGATGGCAATTTGCATATACTCCAGAATGTCATGAAGAGTGATCAGATGAATTGCAATTAATTGCAAAATCCCTCTTTGCCATGAAAATGAACTTAATCCCAAAAAAACATTTCCACTGCATTTCAGCCCTGCCACAAAAGGAATAGCTGCCATCATGTCAGTGATTCTCTCGTTAACACAGATGAGAGTGTTGACGAGGACAAGGCTGGATTGAGTTAGAATAACAGACTGGAAGCATTAAAAGGAGGGTGGTGCTTGAAATCATTGTTCCTCCTCTGTTAACCATGGTTACTTGCAAGGAAACACGTGCCGTCATCATTGCTTTGCACAAAATGGGCTTCACAGGCAAGGATATTGCTGCTAGTAAGATTGCACCTAAATCATCCATTTATCGGATCATCAAGAACTTCAAGGAGAGAGGTTCAATTGTTGTGAAGAAGGTGTCAGGGCGCCCAAGAATGTCCAGCAAGCGCCAGGACCGTCTCCTAAAGTTGATTCAGCTGCGGGATCGGGGCACCACCAGTGCAGTGCTTGCTCAGGAATTGCAGCAGGCAGATGTGAGGTGAGCGCTACCATCAGTCCTGTGTCATGCCAACAGTAAAGCATCCTGAGACCATTCATGTGTGGGGTTGCATCTCAGCCAAGGGAGTGGGCTCACTAACAATTTTGCCTAAGAACACAGCAATGAATAAAGAATGGTAGCAACACATCCTCCGAGAGCAACTTCTCCCAACCATCCAAGAACAGTTTGGTGACGACCAATGCCTTTTCCAGCATGATGGAGCACCTTGCCATAAGGCAAAAGTGATAACTAAGTGGCTCGGGGAACAAAACATCAATATTTTGGGTCCATGGCCGGAAACTCCCCAGAACTTAATCCCATTGAGAACATTGTAACATCTGACAAAAATATCTCATAACACTGAAGCAGCGAACTTTGTGAAGACAAATACTTGTGTCATCTCAAAACTTTTGACCACGACTGTACATGCGTAAGCAGGAGCTCCTTGTCTTACCCAGGTGTCACATTCTTTCCTGGTTAGAGTCCGTGTGCCTTTGGTCCCTGGATCAAATGTCTCCTCCTGTCTTTGACAATCCCTCTGGTCCCTGTGAACCACAAAAAACTCATGTGCAGCTATAGCTGCTCCAAGCTTCTTGCCTCAGCACACTCCATATAGTATATTTGCATGGCATGCACAGTGTGGATATCATCTACAGTGGGGAAAAAAGTATTTAGTCCGCCACCAATTGTGCAAGTTCTCCCACTTAAAAAGATGAGAGAGGCCTGTAATTTTCATCATACGTACACATCAACTATGACAGACAAATTTAGGAAAAAAAATCCAGAAAATCACATTGTAGGATTTTTAATGAATTTATTTGCAAATTATGGTGGAAAATAAGTATTTGGTCACCTACAAACAAGCAAGATTTCTGGCTCTCACAGACCTGTAACTTCTTCTTTAAGAGGCTCCTCTGTCCTCCACTCGTTACCTGTATTAATGGCACCTGTTTGAACTTGTTATCAGTATAAAAGACACCTGTCCACAACCTCAAACAGTCACACTCCAAACTCCACTATGGTCAAGACCAAAGCAGCTTGGTTTGAAGAAATCAACTGTGGGAGCAATTATTAGGAAATGGAAGACATACAAGACCACTGATAATCTCCCTTGATCTGGGGCTCCACGCAAGATCTCACCCCGTGGGGTCAAAATGATCACAAGAACGGTGAGAAAAATCCCAGAACCACACGGGGGGACCTAGTGAATGGCCTGCAGAGAGCTGGGACCAAAGTAACAAAGCCTACCATCAGTAACACACTACGCTGCCAGGGACTCAAATCCTGCAGTGCAAGACGTGTCCCCCTGCTTAAGCCAGTACATGTCCAGGCCCGTCTGAAGTTTGCTAGAGTGCACTTGGATGATCCAGAAGAGGATTGGGAGAATGTCATATGGTCAGATGAAACCAAAATATAACTTTTTGGTAAAAACTCAACTCGTTGTGTTTGGAGGACAAAGAATGCTGAGTTGCATCCAAAGAACACCATACCTACTGTGAAGCATGGGGGTGGAAACATCATGATTTGGGGCTGTTTTTCTGCAAAGGGACCAGGACGACTGATCCGTGTAAAGGAAAGAATGAATGGGGCCATGTATCGTGAGATTTTGAGTGAAAACCTCCTTCCATCAGCAAGGGCATTGAAGATGAAACGTGGCTGGGTCTTTCAGCATGACAATGATCCCAAACACACCGCCCGGGCAACGAAGGAGTGGCTTCGTAAGAAGCATTTCAAGGTCCTGGAGTGGCCTAGCCAGTCTCCAGATCTCAACCCCATAGAAAATCTTTGGAGGGAGTTGAAAGTCCGTGTTGCCCAGCGACAGCCCCAAAACATCACTGCTCTAGAGGAGATCTGCATGGAGGAATGGGCCAAAATACCAGCAACAGTGTGTGAAAACCTTGTAAAGACTTACAGAAAACTTTTGACCTGTGTCATTGCCAACAAAGGGTATATAACAAAGTATTGAGAAACTTTTGTTATTGACCAAATACTTATTTTCCACCATAATTTGCAAATAAATTTTCATTTTTCATTTTCTCAATTTGTCTGTCATAGTTGACGTGTACCTATGATGAAAATTACAGGCCTCTCTCATCTTTTTAAGTGGGAGAACATGCACAATTGGTGGCTGACTAAATACTTTTTTTCCCCACTGTATCTGTACAAGTGGCAATGCAGTAAGTCTTTGTGTTTATGGAAATAGAACCTGGCGCTGGCAGCAAACATGCAAGCTAGAGCAAAATTTGACCACGTTGATTCAACCAGTTTTTGCCCTATTTAATTTTTGACTGCCCTATTTAATTTTATAAGGGGGGATTCTTTCTGTCAGCCCCCCTCATTTCAGATGCAGTCATATTCTTGAGTGCTAATGTCCCCTTTCCTAGATTCCTTTTTATTGCAAACACTTCACTTCATACTTCCTTGTGATTTTGAATACTCTGAATACATTACATTTCATGCCTTCACCAACAGAAACATTGGTGACAGGCCACCCAACTGGATTGAAACCGTTAAATAGGATCGCTACAATGGGATTTACTCATATTCGTCTACAAGGTCATCAGAACTAGTGGCAGTATTATGATAGCACTTTCTAGAGAGCAGCTGCTGCATTGTCATCTGACAGGGGATGTACTGTACAGGCAGTTTGGTTTTGGAGTTGGGATTAGCAATCACCACCAGTGTCATGTACTGACATGTGTTAGTAGTACCACGATACAACCTTTATTGAAAATGCAAATGTGGATTCATCTCATTCATGTTTGCTCTCTGTAACATAGTGATAGTGTGGGCATCACATTTCTGACAGAGCTAATTTGTAAGGAGGCTCCACCGCCAGGGGAGGAGATAGACAGGATGCTGAGCAAGAGGGGGTCGCCCACACTCCACAGAAAGTGCTCCAAAGTATCGGAACTGACCCTCAGCTGGAAGGAGGAGAAGGAGCGGAATGTTGAGACAGAGGGAGAATTTGGAGATGGCCGCACCTGTAGCGTGGACACAGAGGATAGTGGGTACTCTGAGGCGGAGGAAAGGACCCTTGAGGCGGAGGGCGGCCAAGATAAACCTGGACAGAGAGACAACTCTAAACCTGGACAGATGGACAGCACTGAACCTGGGCAGACAGAGAGCAATGAACCTCCTGGACAGACAGACAGCTCTAAACCTGAACAGACAGACATCTCTAAACCTGGACAGACAGCACTGGGTCATCCGGGGAGGCCATGCAGAGGGACAGTGACAGCGTCTCACCTAAAGGGAAAGTTGAGTCATGGGTGAGGGTAAAAAAACCCTCCAGCTCAGTGTGAGTTCAATGTTATTTGCATCAGTGTGGTGACTGTATTAACATTCATGTACAAGTGATGGTGCATGACGGTCCCTCATTAAACGTTGCCCCTAAGTATGTCAGGGATACCGTAAATACAGTACACCTACAGTGGGGAGAACAAGTATTTGATACACTGCCGATTTTGCAGGTTTTCCTACTTACAAAGCATGTAGAGGTCTGTCATTTTTATCATAGGTACACTTCAACTGTGAGAGATGGAATCTAAAACAAAAATCCAGAAAATCACATTGTATAATTTTTAAGTAATTAATTTGCATTTTATTGCATGACATAAGTATTTGATCACCTACCAACCAGTAAGAATTTTGGCTCTCACAGACCTGTTAGTTTTTCTTTAAGAAGCCCTCCTGTTCTCCACTCATTACCTGTATTAACTGCACCTGTTTGAACTCGTTACCTGTATAAAAGACACCTGTCCACACACTCAATCAAACAGACTCCAACCTCTCCACAATGGCCAAGACCAGAGAGCTGTGTAAGGACATCAGGGATAAAATTGTAGACCTGCACAAGGCTGGGATGGGCTACAGGACAATAGGCAAGCAGCTTGGTGAGAAGGCAACAACTGTTGGCGCAATTATTAGAAAATGGAAGAAGTTCAAAATGACAGTCAATCACCCTCGGTCTGGGGCTCCATGCAAGATCTCACCTTGTGGGGCATCAATGATCATGAGGAAGGTGAGGGATCAGCCCAGAACTACACGGCAGGACCTGGTCAATGACCTGAAGAGAGCTGGGACCACAGTCTCAAAGAAAACCATTAGTAACACACTACGCCGTCATGGATTAAAATCCTGCAGCGCACGCAAGGTCCCCCTGCTCAAGCCAGCGCATGTCCAGGCCCGTCTGAAGTTTGCCAATGACCATCTGGATGATCCAGAGGAGGAATGGGAGAAGGTCATGTGGTCTGATGAGACAAAAATAGAGCTTTTTGGTCTAAACTCCACTCGCCGTGTTTGGAGGAAGAAGAAGGATGAGTACAACCCCAAGAACACCATCCCAACTGTGAAGCATGGAGGTGGAAACATCATTCTTTGGGGATGCTTTTCTGCAAAGGGGACAGGACGACTGCACCGTATTGAGGGGAGGATGGATGGGGCCATGTATCGCGAGATCTTGGCCAACAACCTCCTTCCCTCAGTAAGAGCATTGAAGATGGGTCGTGGCTGGGTCTTCCAGCATGACAACGACCCGAAACACACAGCCAGGGCAACTAAGGAGTGGCTCCGTAAGAAGCATCTCAAGGTCCTGGAGTGGCCTAGCCAGTCTCCAGACCTGAACCCAATAGAAAATCTTTGGAGGGAGCTGAAAGTCCGTATTGCCCAGCGACAGCCCCGAAACCTGAAGGATCTGGAGAAGGTCTGTATGGAGGAGTGGGCCAAAATCCCTGCTGCAGTGTGTGCAAACCTGGTCAAGACCTACAGGAAACGTATGATCTCTGTAATTGCAAACAAAGGTTTCTGTACCAAATATTAAGTTCTGCTTTTCTGATGTATCAAATACTTATGTCATGCAATAAAATGCAAATGAATTACTTAAAAATCATACAATGTGTTTTTCTGGATTTTTGTTTTAGATTCCGTCTCTCACAGTTGAAGTGTACCTATGATAAAAATTACAGACCTCTACATGCTTTGTAAGTAGGAAAACCTGCAAAATCGGCAGTGTATCAAATACTTGTTCTCCCCACTGTATATAACTGTATATAGCACATTTTGCTCAAATAAAACGGTTAGTGCGAAACCTGTTCAGAGCTTTACAATGGAAATAAATGTTGCCATGATTGATGATTGTTACATTTTTTTGTTAAATATTTGTGTGATTGTCCTTCACAGCGGCAAAAAGGAGTTGGATGACGCCAACAAGATCAATGCTCTCTCAAAGATGTACAGTGCCGTGGGCAATCTGAAAAGCTGCTGGCAGAACTGGTCCTCGACGCACACCGTCAACCAGAAGCTCAACCCCTTCAGTGAGGACTTTGACTACGAATACTCCATGTCCCTACGCCTCCGCAAAGGCGAGGAGGGTTACGGACGCCCCAAGGAGGGCACCAAAACAGCCGAACGTGCCAGATGAGCTGAGCAACACATCCACGGTGAGATAGCTGACATGTGCTATGTGATCAGGACTATGAACGACCCAGATCCGGACGGGAAAACATGCATCACGTTCAGAGAACTGTTTGATAGATACGTATACATCTCTGACAAGGTGGTGGGGATTCTTCTGAAAGCCAGGAAGCATGGGAAGGTGGCGTTCGAGGGGGAGATGCTGTGGCAAGGGCAGGATGATGGTGTTATCATAACCCTGTTGGTGTGACTTCCTCTCTTGTGGAACCATACAGAACTAAGGAGACATACAGTGCATTCGAAAAGTATTCAGACCCCTTCCCTTTTTCCACATTTTGATTGGAGTCCACCTGTGGTAAATTCAATTGATTGGACATGATTTGGAAAGGCACACACCTGTCTATATAAGGTCCCACAGTTGACAGTGCATGTCAGAGCAAAAACCAAGCAATGAGGTCGAAGGATCTTTGCAGATCTTCTCCAAGTCATTAAGGTTTCGAGGCTGACGTTTGGCAACTCGAACCTTCAGCTCCCTCCACAGATTTTCTATGGGATTAAGGTCTGGAGACTGGCTAGGCCACTCCAGGACCTTAATGTGCTTCTTCTTGAGCCACTCCTTTGTTGCCTTGGCCGTGTGTTTTGGTTCATTGTCATGCTGGAATACCCATCCACGACCCATTTTCAATGCCCTGGCTGAGGGAAGGAGGTTCTCACCCAAGATTTGACGGTACATGGCCCCGTCCATCGTCCCTTTGATGCGGTGAAGTTGTCCTGTCCACTTAGCAGAAAAACACCCCCAAAGTATAATGTTTCCACCTCCATGTTTGACGGTGAGGATGGTGTTCTTGGGGTCATAGGCAGCATTCCTCCTCCTCCAAACACGGCGAGTTGAGTGGTCCTCTGTAGCTCAGCTGGTAGAGCACGGCGCTTGTAACGCCAAGGTAGTGGGTTCGATCCCCGGGACCACCCATACACAAAAAAAATTATGCACGCATGACTGTAAGTCGCTTTGGATAAAAGCGTCTGCTAAATGGCATATTATTATTATATTATTATATTATTATGCCAAAGAGCTCCATTTTGGTTTTTGACCACAACACTTTCACCCAGTTCTCCTCTGAATCATTCAGATGTTCATTGGCAAACTTCAGATGGGCATGTACAGTGGGGAAAAAAAGTATTTAGTCAGCCACCAATTGTGCAAGTTCTCCCACTTAAAAAGATGAGAGAGGCCTGTAATTTTCATCATATGTACACGTCAACTATGACAGACAAAATGAGGAAAAAAAATCCAGAAAATCACATTGTAGGATTTTTAATGAATTTATTTGCAAATTATGGTGGAAAATAAGTATTTGGTCAATAACAAAAGTTTCTCAATACTTTGTTATATACCCTTTGTTGGCAATGACACAGGTCAAACGTTTTCTGTAAGTCTTCACAAGGTTTTCACACACTGTTGCTGGTATTTTGGCCCATTCCTCCATGCAGATCTCCTGTAGAGCAGTGATGTTTTGGAGCTGTCGCTGGGCAACACGGACTTTCAACTCCCTCCAAAGATTTTCTATGGGGTTGAGATCTGGAGACTGGCTAGGCCACTCCAGGACCTTGAAATGCTTCTTACGAAGCCACTCCTTCGTTGCCCGGGCGGTGTGTTTGGGATCATTGTCATGCTGAAAGACCCAGCCACGTTTCATCTTCAATGCCCTTGCTGATGGAAGGAAGTTTTCACTCAAAATCTCACGATACATGGCCCCATTTATTCTTTCCTTTACATGTATCAGTCGTGCTGGTCCCTTTGCAGAAAAACAGCCCCAAATCATGATGTTTCCACCCCCATGCTTCACAGTAGGTATGGTGTTCTTTGGATGCAACTCAGCATTCTTTGTCCTCCAAACACGACAAGTTGAGTTTTTACCAAAAAGTTATATTTTGGTTTCATCTGAGTATATGACATTCTCCCAATCCTCTTCTGGATCATCCAAATGCACTCTAGCAAACTTCAGACGGGCCTGGACATGTACTGGCTTAAGCAGGGGGACACGTCTGGCACTGCAGGATTTGAGTCCCTGGCGGCATAGTGTGTTACTGATGGTAGGCTTTGTTACTTTGGTCCCAGCTCTCTGCAGGTCATTCACTAGGTCCCCCCGTGTGGTTCTGGGATTTTTGCTCACCGTTCTTGTGATCATTTTGACCCCACGTGGTGAGATCTTGCGTGGAGCCCCAGATCGAGGGAGATTATCATTGGTCTTGTATCTCTTCCATTTCCTAATAATTGCTTCCACAGTTGATTTCTTCAAACCAAGCTGCTTACCTATTGCAGATTCAGTCTTCCCAGCCTGGTGCAGGTCTACAATTTTGTTTCTGGTGTCCTTTGACAGCTCTTTGGTCTTGGCCATAGTGGAGTTTGGAGTGTGACTGTTTGAGGTTGTGGACAGGTGTCTTTTATACTGATAACAAGTTCAAACAGGTGCCATTAATACAGGTAACAAGTGGAGGACAGAGGAGCCTCTTAAAGAAGAAGTTACAGGTCTGTGAGAGCCAGAAATCTTGCTTGTTTGTAGGTGACCAAATACTTATTTTCCACCATAATTTGCAAATAAATCCATAAAAAATCCTACAATGTGATTTTCTGGATTTTTTTTCCTCAATTTGTCTGTCATAGTTGACGTGTACCTATGATGAAAATTACAGGCCTCTCTCATCTTTTTAAGTGGGAGAACTTGCACAATTGGTGGCTGACTAAATACTTTTTTCCCCCACTGTATATGTGCTTTCTTGAGCAGGGGGACCTTGCGGGCGCTGCAGGATTTCAGTACACGGTGTAGTGTGTTACCAATTGTTTTATTGGTGACTATGGTCCCAGCTGCCTTGCGATCATTGACAAGATCCTCCCGTGTAGTTCTGGACTGATTCCTCACCGTTCTCATGATCATTGCAACTCCACGAGGTGAGATCTTGCATGGAGCCCCAGGCCAAGGGAGATTGACAGTTATTTTGTGTTTCTTCCATTTGCGAATAATCGCACCAACTGTTGTCACCTTCTTCGCTTGGCGATGGTCTTGCAGCCCATTCCAGCCTTGTTTATGTCTACAATCTTGTCCCTGACATCATTGGAGAGCTCTTTGGTCTTGGCCATGGTGGAGAGTTTGGAATCTGATTGATTGATTGCTTCTGTGGACAGGTGTCTTTTATACAGGTAACAAGCTGAGATTAGGAGCACTCCCTTTAAGAGTGTGCTCGTAATCTCAGCTCGTTACCTGTATAAAACACACCTGGGAGCCAGAAATCTTTCTGATTGAGAGGGGGTCAAATACTTATTTCCCTCATTAAAATGCAAATCAATTTATAACATTTTTGACATGCATTTTTCTGGATTTTTTGTTGTTATTCTGTCTCTCACTGTTCAAATAAACCTATCATTAAAATTATAGACTGATCATTTCTTTGTCAGTGGGCAAACGTACAAAATCAGCAGGGGATCAAATACTTTTTTCCCTCACTGTATGAGGAACAGATCTTTTTTGGGTTGTTTGGTTCCTCCATCAGATGACAACAAAAGGAGGGATCATATCCTCAATGTAACCCACCCAGTTAAATATAAACGTCAGTGATAAGGAGCATAACACCGCCCACAGCTACAGCAGCCTATGGCTTCCTTGTTCGTCAGGCACATCTTTGACTGGAAGCCAAGGCTGATGCTTATAGGAATATACATTAAAAGATGTTCTGGAATACACTCACTGGAAACGTATTGGAATGTCAGCTGTAGCGGGTATAATTATAGGAGCACCTTAGCTTTGATTACAGCATTGGGAGAGACTCCAGAACAGAGTGGTGCTTCTCACATCATTTACATTTACATTTTACATCAGACACTGATGCCCTGACGGCCTTCTTTAACACCTGCTGCTGGCTCATTCACTGACTCCTACCTCTAACCAGGTTTTATATGCATACTTGATCTGTGAGTATTGAGTTGTTTTTATTATTTGAATATTGCTCTTATCATTAAGCGGGAATAGTATTTATTATTTTTATTTTTTATTTTTTATTGGCCCATCCACTACTGCCCCTCTTCGGAGGACAAAAATAACTTTGCTTTTACCTTTTTTCTTTTTTGTTACATGTCAATTCTACACACATTTTACATACATGGCACTTAATTTTTTTACACAGTAGTTACATAGCAAGAATATAGTTAATAATAGTAGTTAATAATGGGAATAGTACTTAATAATGTTTTGTACTGTAAGAACAATGTAAGAATGCATTGGTTAAAGTTGGAATCCTGTCACGATCGTTCAATGACTTGTGGAACCAAGGCGCAGCGTGATAAGCGTACATTTTATTCAAGTACTGAACACACGAACAAAACAACAAACAAATGATACGTGAAGTCTTAAAGGTTACACCAAACAAACCTATACAGAACAAGATCCCACACCGACTAGTGCCAAACAGGCTGCCTAAGTATGGTCCCCAATCAGAGACAACAAGTTACAGCTGCCTCTGATTGGGAACCACCCTGGCCAACATAGATCCACACGATCTAGAAAACACAACATAGAAAATACAACATAGAAACTCCACACCCTAGCTCAACATTTAAGAGTCCCAAGAGCCAGGGCGTGACAAATCCATATCGGTGAAACTGAATCTGAGACCCTTTTATAACATCTGACTGTTTGGATTCAAAATCTGAGTTGTTGACCAATAGCGTTACTGTTGAGTTAACCTCCAATCAGATAGCAGACCTACTGGATGTAAAGATAACAGCACCACTTGCTTCACAGAGATGTGATAAGAGGGGGTTGGTGAGATAATGCAGCATTCCTAAGACAACACAAAGGAAATCCTTGCATACAGTGTAATGATTCACGTCGGATGCTCGGCCCGCCACTACAGGGGTTATGTTACATTTAGGAAATATAATAAATAATATGCCATTTAGCAGATGCTTTTATCCAAAGCGACTTACAGTCATGCGTGCATACATTTTTGTGT